AGTACCCCTAATGGGAAGTCATTGAGTGGGGGGTCCCCTGTGCAAGACATGGGCACAGCTTGGATGTGGTACTGAATTTTCCAGTGACCATGCTTGCCCCACTGTGAGATCTAAGAGGCACAAGTTCAAGGTCAACAGCAGTCAGCCTCCTCCCTCTCTCTCTCTCTCTCTCTCTCTCTCTCTCAAGCAGATGCCCAGGTGTCCTTTGTAAAGAAGCAAAGTGCAGATTGCCAGGCTTGCAGGCTGGGGACCCCACAAACTGACCTTGAGTCCAGCCTCTCAGACAAGTCACCTGCCTCCTTGGCCCTCCGTTTACTCCTCCAAAATAATAATGGCCAACACACATGGGGCACTTACTATGTGCAAGACACTTTTCACTATTAATTCACCGAGTCCCAGGCACAGAGTTTAAGCAGTTTGCCTAAGATATCAGAAGGGGTAAGGGGGAGAGGCAGACCTTGAACCCAGAATCCCCCATGCTGCATTTCAGCTCTGAATCCCCAGGCTACCTCGTCTCCAACTGCTGCATCCACAGCCTTTGCTTGTGTGAGGATTAAGGGTCCACCAGGCATAGTGGCACCTGCCCGTGACCCCAGTGTAACCGGTCCTTGTCCTGAGCCAACAGAACAGCAAGCAGCAGGATGGTACCAGTACCAGATGCAATTTAGTAGAAAGAACAAAGAAAAGCCCTCGACAGACCAGGAGGGCAAAAAGAACTCCAAGGAAATGCCGGAATCTAGAAGCTTAGAAACAACTCTTTGGCATAGGAAAGGGGCAGAGGAAGTGCAAAAATGCAGGTAGGCAGCTGCTTCCCAGGCTTCTTGTCCTCAGCAGATTTTATTATTGTCTTTTGCATTTAACAATATTTGAAGTTATCTTTAGCCCACTCAGGTCCTGGCCTTCAGGTTACTCAGTTTACTTAGTTTACTCAGGCCTTTGCACTTTGTCCCTTTATTTTCTGGTTTTACCAGCACTCAGGAGGCTGAGGCAGGAAGATCGCTGTGAGTTTGAGGCCAGACTGAGCCACATAGTGAGTTCAAGAAAGCCAGCCTGGACTCCATTGTGAGACCCTGTCTCAAATAAATAAATAACAATGCATGGATGGATGGATGGAGATATACAAAGTGTCTGGCCTCCCACACCATATGCTTTCCATAGATGTCAGCTACCACTATGGTACTAATTATTATCACTGAAGGTACAGAGTGAGTTTTTCTTTTGTGATTTCAAGATCACCCCAGTGGTCTCTTCTTAGAATAAATCACTGTGAGTTCGAGCCCAGCCTATACTACATTGTGAGATACTGTCAAAAAAAACAACCCACGTACAATAAATAAATAAATAAACATAGAGTTCTTGTATCTTAAGGCCCTCCCATCACTCTGGGTTCACATCTGTCCTTCAGTCATCTCAAAGCATGCCGTCAGTGTGCGCTGTCCCAGCAGGGTGCCGGGGACACCACTGGTACCCACCCAGCGGACATTTCCTGCTCCTTCCCTCCTGAGAGAAGCCCATTTTGTTCAGATGTCATTTTGATTACCTATAGTTGCATTATAAATGACTCCAGCAGCAATTGGAGGGCAGAGTGTGGGGGTGTGGTGGGCCTTGCATATGCCAGGACAGTCTGTGGCTGGCAGGGCTCAGCTGAAGTTGTTGCCTGGGGTGTCTCCTGTGGTAACAGTGAGAGGGGAGCCCACCCCTCCATATGGAATTGGTTGACTATGGGTTAACTAGGTAACTATGCTCTTTGTAGAATGCACCTGAGCAGCCATGACAACTTCTTTCTCTTTTTTTTTTTGGTACCTGGGATTGAACTCGGGACCTTGAGCCATGACAACTTCTGTAACCTGTCACCAAAGGAGCGTGACACTCAGAAAGTCCTGCCAGAGCTCTTTGCTCTCCCCCTCTCTGCTGCTCTGCTTTGTGTAAATCCTGCTTGTAATATTCTCAGGGAAAGTCCAATGGAATTAAGCCTTGTAGATGTAAAAAGAGGTATATAAGGAAGTGCAAACTTCTATCAGGGCTCTCCAGACCGACAGGAGTCACTCGCTGAGCCGCCGGCAACATTAAGAGCCACTTTTTGCTCCTATCTCCATGTTAAAGAATTGTCTGTGCTGGGGTCCTCACTGTTTCCTGCTTCAGTTGTCAGACTGAAGCTGGGGACATCAGAAGCCTCCCCGAGCCCTCTTCATTCACAGGTCTGGTGCCTCAGGTGGGGTGGCTGGAAGAGCTGACAGTTGGCTGGCGTCTCACTCTCAGTGCCTCTTGTCACACATTCTCCTCAGCTGACTGATTGGGCTTCCTCCCGACATGCTGGCCACCAAGAAGTTTGGCTCTGTGTATGGCAGCCGTCTTCCCACAGATCAGACACCAAGAGTCTGAAGCACAAGCATCAAGGATTCTTCTCACCAAGCCCTGAGGGTTGTGAACTGACTCTTCAACCACATTGTATTCGCTAGGTGGCAGAAGCCCAGATTCAGTGCCGAGAGGGACCACCAGGAGGTGAGGTAGGGATGCCTAGGGCACAGGGAGACTTCCGAGACTGCCTACCCCTGAGACCCTCTCCTCCCCCTCAGCCTCCAGGGGATGCCAATTCCACCCCCAGCCCCAGCCCAAAGGGGAACCAAGTGGTCTAAAGATGATACCTTCCCCTTGCCAGAAATGAGCACGTGACTCCTTTGGCCAATGAGATGTGAGATATCAACCAGGGACTTCTGGGAATGATCTCCACATTCCTAAGAGACAGCCCACTTCCTAGGGTCATTTCTGATTGACGACCACCCAAGTATCGTGCCAGAACTAAGAAGGGCAAAGCAGAGAGGTGGAAGACTGGAGTTTTCACTGGCACAGTGCAGTCTGTCCACCGTGCCCACAACTAACCCAAAGCCCATCCTACATCTCTTATCTGAAATGATCAGCATCTTTAAAGGTTAACTTAGGAGCCAGTCAAGGGCCAAGACAGTGAATACTTCAGGCTTTGCACACTAAAAGGTAAAGTCAAGCAATACATCTCCCTCAAAGGCTAATAGTCTTTTTCACATTTTACATTTAAAAATACAAAAACTCTCCTTGGTTGACAGCTGTACCAAAACAGATAGCTGTCTGGATTTGGCCCGTAAATCACATTTTGCAGACCCCTGTTTTAAATCATAAATTAAGGTTTCTGAACCAGACATGGTGACATACGTCTGTAACCCTTGATAGTCTGAAGGCTGAGGTAGGAGGATCACAAGTTTGAAGCCTGCCTGTGCAACTTAGCAAGACCCTGTCTCAAAATAAAAAATAAAAAGGGCTGGGGATGTAGTTCAGTGTGAGAGTGGTTGGTTAGCACGTGGGAGGCTCCGGGTCTGATTCCAAGGATTACAAAACAAACATTTCTGTTGCCTGCAGCTGAACTTCTGCAGGGACCGCTGACTTGAGGCTGCTTGTCATTCTAATTCCCCTTGTAAATGAGTCCACTGATGCTCAGATTTTATCTAATTTTTGCTTGTAGGAGAGGCTGAGCATTTTCCTTCTTCTCCCATCCTTTCCTGCAACAGGTAAACTTCAAGGTTAAAGGAAGGAGCATGGGGTAGAGACTTGCAAGGAGGAAGACTGGGGGTGTGCTGAGCCAGGCAAGTGCTGCGTCACTGAGCTACACCCCCCGGCTCTGAGGAAGGTGTTCTTCTAGTTTAGCAAGACACAGGTGAGTCACTAGCAGGAATCAAAGAGCTGATTGTCTTGCAGCTGCTTCCCCACTAACCCGCCCAGAAAGGTTCTTTCCTCTTCCTTCCTGTATACCCACCTGACTGAGGGGAACAGCTTTAACCTTCACTGAGGGGTCCTATGCCCACCAGGGTGTGACCAAGGGTGACCCCAAGGACTAGGGCAGGGCCAGGTCCACAGCAGCGTTCCTGGGCAGCTGGAAAGACTACAGAAGCTGGTCCTGAGTCTCCACTTCATGTCAACTTTGTAAGGCCAGCGCCAGATCATCTGAACCTGATGGGAGGGATATTTGCACATTTTCCAAGATCTTGCATGTGCTTTTCAGATGCTATGGTTGTGGGACTGAGTGATTCAAAAGTTAATTACTCCCCTAGATTCTGTTGTAAATTTGATGGTTGGAGTGTGTTTGCCTCGGGACAATGGACAATCAGTAATAGGGTGAGGTTACTCAGCCATCTGTTTGCCCTAAATCCAAATGTCCCGGGGCCCAGTATCTATAGGACAATCTGTAAACAGGGTGGTCGTAACTGTCACAGTCAGGACGTCTGCTGAACATCAGCATGTGTCAATGAGCCACTAACCTTTGTTCTTTTTTTTTCTGTGAATCCACATGTTAACCCCCCCCCCCTTAACTCCCTATAAAACAACCTGGGACTCTGAGCCAGGTGCCTCTCTGAGCTATTTTGCTTCGGGAGTGCCCTCTGGCCAGACTAATAAAGGTCTGTTTCCCAACATGGCCGGTGTGTTCCTTCCCGGGTGTGCTCCACTCCAAAGTGCTCCACTCCAGCTCCTTGGAGCGTTTGGTAAGGCCTTTGGTCTTACATTCTGGAGGCACCGCTGGGATCCCCGGGTGTGCTCCACTTCAGCTCCTCAGAGCGTTTGGTAAGGCCCTCGGTCTTACATGGTTATGTCTCCCGGAGAGTTCACGTGTGGGAAACTTAAACTCCAGTCATGGTAGTGGACGCCTATAATTCCAGCACTCTGGGAGGCTGAGGCAGGAGGATTTTAAGTCTAAGTAGCCACCCAGGGCAACTTAGTGAGGCCCTGTCTCAAGTGAAAAATAAAAAAAGGGCTGGGGATGTAGCTTGATGCAAAAGCCCTGGGTTCAACGCCCAGTACTGCAGAGAGAGAGAGAATGGTCATGAGCACTTTACCTTCACCAGTTGGACCAGGGCGTTACTGAAGGGGGCGCTCCTAACAAAGGATGCATTCAGCCCCACCCCTCTCTCACACTGCACTCTCACCAAAGGATGCTTCCGCCATGTCACTACACAGCAGGAAGGCCCTCACCAGTGCACTCAGACTGGGACTCAGCCTCCAGATTCCGGAGCCGAATCAGCTCCTGCTTATCACAAATGAGGCAGGCTCTGGTGTTCTGCTGTCAGCACAGATGGGCTGAAACAATACGCTAGATCCTTCTCCCCTGCACTGGACCACCCCGAACGTCTAAGAGGCAAGGGCGGAGCTGGGGTTGCCTTGGAAACTGGAGAAGCCATTTATCACATGTATGCTGATGGGATGAAGAGAGGTATGCAAGGATTTCCAAGGAAACTTTATCTGTAGGGAAGATTAATAGGAGACTGAGGTCCAGGGTGCACTTGGGGATGGAAATTTTTCCTTCCTGGAAAGATAAGGGTCAGGACAAAGAACAGAAGTCAGAAGAAGTCTCTGACCAGGCACAGTGGCCAGTCCTGGAGCCCCAGCTCCGTGGGCAGCTCCGTCCCTGGAGGGCGCCTCCTTATTTGGGGATCAGCCTCCCCCAGACATAATGCGTGGGCATCACAATTTGCAGAGCCAGTTCATCAAATTGCTGTTTCCATTTTTAGTCCTTTAAAATAAAAGTCCATTTGGGCTGGGGATTTAGCTCAGTGGTTCCACTGCCTGCCTCGCAAGCTCAAGGTCCCGAGTTTGATCCCCAGTACAAAAAAAAAGAGTCAACTTGATACCTAAGCAAAGTATCATATCTCATGACATGCAATATTTAAATATTTGTTTGTTGAATCCAGATCCCATTCTGCTGCTACACACTTTCTGGTTCTACCACCCGAAAATGCAGTGTTGGTTAAGACAGCCTCAGAGGTGTAAATATATATATTATTTATACCTCAGAGGTATAAATATCTTATGACTCACTCGAGTGGTGCTTTTTGAAATGGTGTCCCCCCCACTTTCTGTGAGGGGGCAAGAGAAAATAGTTCCAGCATATGGCAACAGTATTTCTAATATTATAGGCGCTCTCTCTCTCTCTCTCTCTCTCTCTCTCTCTCTCTCTCTCTCTCTCTCGCTCCCCTCTCCCCTCTCCCCTGTCCCCTCTTGTTTTGAGACAGGTTCCTGCTGTTTAGTCCAGGCTGGTAATGAACTTGCTATGTAGCCCAGGCTGTCCTCACACTTGTAATCCTCCTGCCTCAGTCTCCCAGATTCTGGGATTACAGCTGTGTGCCACTGTGCCCGGTTCCTATTCTCATATTGTAAGTCAGTTGCAACTTTTGAGTTATAATTTTTTTTCGACTCAAAATTTCTCTCAATGATACTATTTAAAATAGAGCTTAACTTAACTTAAAAGTTAAGTTCAAGAGACCCTAGGTCCTGAAACTTTCTGAACTTAGACAGGGATTGATTATTTACAGACCATACAAGGAAAGAAGTAGGTCAAAACTTTGTCACTATTTGAAAGTCCAAAAGCCCAATTTAGTGACTGGCACATTTTCTGTGCAGCCCGTCTTTTCTTGGACTTGCCTGCTGTATAAGTGTTGGGTGACAGGAAGAAGGAAAACGCTGGAATCCACACAGTAAACCAGCTCAGCGGAAGTACAGGAATGGGTTGAAGTTTCAGGCAGGTCTCAGGAGTGGCTGGAACCAGGAACCTAACTTCCTCAGAGCACTGGGTTTCTCATATCTGCTTTGACCCATGGGACTGTTTCATTTGTTGTTGTTGTTGAGACTGTTGTTGTTTTTGGCACTGGGGATCGAACTCGGGGATCGAACTCGGGACCTTGTGCTTTTGAGATAGGTGACGGAACCACTGAACTAAATCCCCGGCCCATTGTTGTTGTTTTTAAACTGACCTTTTCATGAGGCAAGGGACATGTGCCCTAGATCTAGATGTGTATTCTCAGACTTCATAACTGAGGAAGAAGAGGATCCTGGGGAGGATGATGAGGGTTCCTATGCCCACTCTTGGGACCAATTTCTTGCAAGAAGGGGCAGGAACCATGAAGGTAGCCAGGAGGGTAGAATCTGTGACCAACAGAATAGGGGAAGGGGTGCTGGGCAGTCCAAACAGAAGGTGTGTTCTAAATCTCCCTCCTGAGAGCTGCTCTTCCCCTCCATCCAAGGGAGTGCTCTGGAAGACTGGTCCACGCCCTTGCCACATCGGTTGTTAGGCCTGGGCACCTGCTGGTGCATGAGAGGCATTTCCTAGGAATTAAGACTGGAGCTCAGAGATGCCAGCTCCATTTGGCTTCTTGCTTGTACTGAGTAGCTGTTGGCGGAACCATTTCTTCATGAGGATGGAAGATTCGGGGAACAAAAAGGATGGGCCACAGACAAGAGAAAAAGGAAGCTGCAATTTACAGAAGGAAGCGGATGCTGAAGGCTGAATATTCTGCCTTCTTCCTCAACTGTGGCCTAGCTCTGTCACCTATCAAGGACATCAGCGAGGGTACCTGACCTTCACATGTCTGTTTCCACATCTGTTAAAAGGATCTATTAATAGCATCTAGAACACAGAATGTCGAGAAGTAAGTTGATCCAGTAGAACACAATGCCTGGCATGTAAAAATAACTTGACCAGTGCTAACTATGATTCACGGTGGGAGAAGGCAGTGGCCTTGAGGAGAAATGCTATCTCCTTAAAGATGAAAGAGACAAACCAGAGGTGATGTACACACCGGGGATCTGATTCCACCCTGCTGGAAGTGCCGCGTGGAGTCTCTGGGCCAGCCCTCTAGATGCCAGGCTGCCAACCCCCAAGGCGATAATAAGGGCCTCCTGTCAAGAAGCTGCATGCTACTAAATGCCTGAGTACAAAGACATTACCACCGCCACCACCTCAACGCCGCTGAAATGTACTTTTGGTTTTGTTTTTGTGGTGCTGGGCAGCAGACTCAGGGCCCTGTGCTTTCTAGATTAAGTGCTGTATCCCTGAGCCACACCTCCAGCCCCGCTACAGGCATTTTTTTTTTTTTTGGAACTGGGGATTGAACTCAGGACCTTGCACTTGCAAGGCAGGTGCCGGAACCACTGAGCTACATCCCCAGCTGACAGGCATTTTAAAAATATGAAACCTGGGTGTTAACACGTACATATATGGAAATGCCCTGCATGTAGTTTAACCTGTGTGCACGGACTCTTTATAATGAAAATTCCCAGCAGTACGCACGTATATCCAAAGCCAGTGACACTCAAGAGAACAAAGAAAAGCCAAGGGGTAAGAAGTGTCCAGCAACACACGCCTGTAAGAGCATCATTACCATCAAATAAAAATGCAGTTGGAGGGATCACTGGTGCAACTGAAACCCATGGAAGCTGGTTTTCTGCCTGTCCTTTGGTTGACTCTAGCAGCGACTAGGTTCATACTGTAGACAGTTAACACAGTAACACGGTTATCAGTTTATTTTCACTTTAATTAATGCACTTTGGGAAAGAGGTGGAAAGGAGTGGAAATAAAGTTTAAGAATAAAAACAAAAGGGCTGGGGATTCAGCTCTATGACACTGCGCCTGCCTTACAAGCTCAAGGTCCTGAGTTGGATCCCTGGTACAAAAAAAAAAAAAGGTTTGTTTGTTTTTGTTTTTTGTTTGTTGTATATCCCAGGCTGGCCTTGAACCCAAGATCATCCTGCCTCAGCCTCTCGCTGGGGACTTACAGGCATGTGCCACCATGTGCAGCTAAAACATGAAATATTTTTGAAAAGCATAAAAGCAAAGTGGAAAAAAAAAACCACAAAAGAAAACTGAAGCCTGTCAGTATTTCCTTCCTTTGCCCTTTGTCTTTCTCATCCCCATCAAAAACACACATTCAGATCTCCTTCCTGGAGAATGAGCCCCTTGAGCCAAGCAAGGACCCAGGCCCGGGACGTCTCTGTCCCCCTTGAGATGCTTGTCCTTGTGCTTGACCTTACCTGGGACCGAAGTGTTTCCACTCCCAGATTGAACAAGACCTAAAGAGTGGGGACAAAAACAAAGAGGACAACTGAGGGTCGGAGCTGGAAAGTGTCCAGACTGCTGCAAACTGGAATGGAACTAGAGGATCTCACAGTGCCGAGGACAGACATCCGTGCTGGAGGTGAGGCTCCCGGAAGTTTCAGCAGTGCAAATTCAGCTATGCTAAGGCTGGTGTTGCTTTGCTTACGTGAAACTAGACTTTCTGCAGGAAAGCTCTTTGCTAAGTGAGATCTCTTCCACTCTTCCTGTGAGCAAATTAATATACTGCTAGGAGGGCCAGGGGATTTAGCTCAGTGGTTCCGCTGCCTGCCTTGAAAGCGCAAGGTCCCGAGTTCGATTTCTGGTACCAAAAATAAAAACCCACAAACAAATATATACTGCTATGAGGCTCTCGGATGTTTTCCATTATCTTACATCTATTAGAAGTTGTCTGAATCCATTTCACAGATGCCGCTTCCTGGCAAAGCAGGCCAAAGCTTGTGGACACTCGTGACTTACCAGAACAGACACAAGCTCTGAGATCCACATTCGGACCACCTTATTCCCTCTTCCTTCTGATGACTCATCCCCAGGGCAGCCATTCCCTCAGCCCCTGTGACACACCTGAGGCCTCCCCATCACCACCAGATCTGCACCCCGACTGTAGGGGCTCCAGGGATCCACCCATAGCCCTGCTTCAAGTCTGTGCAGCACCCTGAATCCAAGAGATGACCGCCCCTTTCCCTCGGGTGTAAGTGGGCTGCACTTCTATTGCTTCCAGCACAAACATTCTCCCTATTGGCTCATTTACAAATGAATTACATATCATTGAAAATTATTGTTTCATGGATTCTAGTCAAGTCATACTGCAATGTCAGCTGGACCAGAGACTAGACAAGGGAGTGGCTAAAGGCAAAGATTCTAGAATCAGCCGGGTGTGGTGGCACACGCCTGTAATCCCAGCATTCTCCAGGCTGAGGCAGGAGGAGTGCCACAAGTGTGAGGCCACCCTGGGCTACATAGTGAGTTGAAGGCCACAGCAAGACCCTGTCTCAAAAAACAAAAGATGCAGAAGGTGAGAGGGTGTGCCTCACACATAGTAAATCCAAAGCTTCTGCAGGATACAGAATGCAGCCTGCAGAAGGAAGGAAAGGGTTGTGTGGCTGCAGTCTTGTGCCAGATAAAGCAGTGAGTTCGAAGAGGGCCGATCTACCAGTTAGGAATTATTCTTCATTCAGCGGGGTGTGGTTGCACAGGCCTGTAATGCCAGCGCTTGGGAGCCCAAGGCAGGCCACCCGAGGCTACACAGTGACTTCAAGGCCAGCCTGGAATAGTGAGATGAGACTCTGTCTCAAAACAATAAAAGAAAAATTATTCTTCATTCAATCAACATTTATTATGAGGTGCTAGAAACACTTATTTTTCCCAAATTAGACTTATATCATGCACTTCTTTTACTAAGAGCAATTTTTTTTTTGGTACCAGGGATCGAACTCAGGTCCTTGCACTTGCGCAGCAGGTGGCAAAACCACTGAGCTAAATCCCCGGCCCAACTATGAGCAATTTTTGACAATAAATACACAGTAATTTAACCAATCTCTTATTGTTGGAATTATAGTTTCCAGCTTTCCACTGTCATTTCCACTCTCAGCAATGCTGTGACACACATTTCTGTGTATGGACATATGTCCAAATATTTCTGGGCGTAACTTCTTCTTGCAAGTGAAACTGCTGGTTGGGTAAATCTGTAAACCTATTTTAATCATAATCATGTCAGGATAATTTTAGCGTGCTCAGCTGTCAAAATCTGATGCTACATGGGCCAGAGATTTAGCTCATTGACACCATGCCTGCATTGCAGGTGCAAGGTCCTGAGTTTGATTCCTGGTACCAAAAATAAATAAATCTCATGCTACATGATTGACGCTATGGCCTTTTGAAGTTGGTGCCACTGTGACAATTGGAGGCATTCTTGGTGATGTACAGAATTCGCTTCCTCATTTTCTGCAGTGTGTGAAGCAGTCACTTCGATTTCTGCCTCCAGCAGTCTTTCCTCTTACTTCAGGTCACTTCCATGCAAAGGATCTTCCTCCAGACTTGACCACACTGGAAGACAATTTCTGACACTCCTTTCTTTCCTCTGGTCTCCTCTGTCCAGTTCTAATTTCATCCAATAAATTCAGTAACCTATTAAAGGGAGATGGAGTTCACACAATTACATTAAAGACCTGGGTTTCCCACTTAGTTACTGAGTTTGTTGACAGATAACATCTTCTCAAAAGCCTGTCCATCTTCCATTTCCCTCTTTCCTCCCTTTTTGATAGTGAGGATTGAACACAGGGCCTTCCCACTGAGCTATATCTCCAGCCCTTATTTTATACTTTGAGACAATATTTCGCTAAACCACCTACACTAGGCTTGAACTTGTGATCCTCCTGCCTCAGCCTCCCCGAGTGCTGGGATTACAGGCATGCACTACCATGTCCGGTTTATTAGATTACTTTTTAAGGACCCATTAATGAAGACAGGCCCTCATTTCTAAGATTCTAATGATTAACACAAACTGATACACTATTCACATCTTTCTGTAGTTCTTGTTCCAATTCACTGCAAAACAAAACAAACAAAAAAGCCTGCTTTCAAGGTCAGTGACTGGTGGGTTGCCCTTGCTAAAGCAAAAACCTGCTTCTAGGCTCTTGTCCCCATTCAAAAAATTGGATGGGACAATCGACAAACTTGAAAGTTTAACAACTATTTAAAGATAAAAAGAAAGGTAAAAGAAGAGAAAGAAGTGCTCTGAAGATACAACCTGCATGCAGGACGGGCCATCGCACAAGAGGGCAGGGCCACTGAAGTCACTGGGCATTGCCTTTTCCATCTTCTTCTGAGGATCCGGGGAGTCCCACGCAGGGCTTCCAAGCTGCTCTGCCCAGGCGTCTGGACAGTGACTGACAGCTCTCCGTGATTGACAGGTCAGGCCCGGTTGTCCGGCCTTGATTTGCTATGCCCTAATCTCCCTCTGCCAGCCTTCAAGGGGCCCTTAGAAGGACACCTGGTGTCTAGGTAAAATTAGGCTTGACCTGTGCCATGCACAGTGCTAACTGCATTACTGTTAGGGAGTATCATTATTGTCCCCATTTTATAGATCAGAAAACTGAGGCTTAGGGAGGTTGTCACTCATCCTCAAGCACCCAGCTACTTCGTAAGCTGTGGCCTCCACTTTTGTTTGTAAACTGAGTAAATGAAGTAAAAGGAGGCAGACCGAGAAGAAAACAAGAAAAAGTGAATGCAGCAAGGCCTCCTTTTCTGTTTCTTCCCCCAGGACCGGTCCAACGGCGCGGCGGAGGCGCCTCCCAGCGGCCACCTCTCTACAACGACGTTTCCGGCTTCTGGGCGTCACTGCGAGCTCCCTGGAACTGCACAGGTCGCGTGCGTGCGACGTACGACGTCAGAGGAGGCGGGACTTCCTGTTCCCACTAAAACTATTTCCGGCGCGTGCCGGAAGACCTCTCGGATGGCCTCTGGGGCGGCCTATGTGTGTGTGTGAGCGCTGGAGCTGCGGGCCTTTTTCGCGCCCGCTGGTCGCCACATGGTGCAGGCAGCGGCCGCCAGACTCCACTCAGATCTGCAGCGCTGAGGCGCCAGCGCAGCGTGCGACATGTCGTCGAGCCTCCGCGCTGCCGACTTCCCTCGCTGGAAACGCCACATTGCTGAGGAGCTGAGGCGCCGCGATCGGCTGCAGAGGCAGGCGTTCGAGGAGATCATCCTGCAGTGTGAGCCGCGCTGTGCGACCGGGCGCGCGGGGCCGGAGGGGACACGCGGCCGCCTGATGGGACCGTGGGGGCCACCCTGCGCCTCGGACGCTCTACCCCTTTGCATCCCTTCGTCCGTTCACGTTATCCTTAGGGGTTATCCTAGGGGATTTCTCTTGGCAGTTGTGTGTTCTTTTTTTCTTTTCTGGTACTGGGGATCGAACTCGGGACCTTCCGCTTGCAGGGCAGGCGGCGGAACCACTGAGCTAAATCCCCGGCCCAGTTGTGTGTTCTTGTGGGCAGGCCTCGTTTGTAAATCTCAGCGGCTCATCCAGCCCTTATGCCCTTAAATAGGCAGACTCCAGAAACGTCCCGTGTAGGGGATCGCCTGAATGAGACAGGTGTTGAATTTAAGCATTAACTCGACGAATTAACATAGCCTTGTGAATATCACAGAACGTGTGGCTTTTGATCTTTCAGACCTCCTTGTTCTTTGCCGAGGATACATGGTGAGCCTTAAAATAAAGTACTTTTAGTTGGATCGTAGCCTTGACGGTATTTGAAAACTGTCACAGTTTTTTCACCACGCCTGGCAATTTAAACGTACTGACAAAAAATTTTCCGAGTTAGGTGCATGATGGGATTTCAAAAGTATAATTGCTATGTATTGAAGTCTCACTGTGCAAAATCAGTTCCTAGGTGTATCTGCATTTTAGAACCACCTGGAGAATCTTTAATTACAAAGCCCTAGCCACACCCCTGGCCAACTAAACCAGAACAAATAGAGGTAGAACGCAAGACCAGTGTGTTTTGATACCCAACGATTCTGGTGTGCAGACAAGTTTGGTAAATAACTGGCATGTGTTATTTTGTTTTATGTTCCCCAAAATTCAGTGCACTGGGTCCAACTGTTGCCCATTTTACGCATGAAGAAACTGAAAGCAACAGAGATTAAGTGATGTCTTTGGGTTGCACAGCAGCACGGAAATTAACTTTTGCATTTGTTTTTCTCACTGAGTCTCCCAAGAAATGGCTCTTTGCTTTCACTGCACTTGTCTTTAAACAAAAGGGGATGCTGTACTGGTCCCATCTTAGATTCCAGATACTCTTAAGAGGCTCTGGGAGACCAGTGTTAGACAAGCTCTGGAAGCCCCTCTTACTCAAAATGTGATTCCCTCACAGGTTACAGGAACTCAGTTCTCGGGTGTTAGTGAATGCTTACTCTTCAAAAGGTAGTAAATCGCCGCTTACTAACCTTTCTGCATCTATGAAATGGGAAGGAAGCATGCCTTGACTCATAAAACAGTGCTGTGTCTATAAGTGCTTTGAAAGTCATCTCTAACCTGTAAACGCAAGATGCTATAATCTCATAGACACAAACTGGATGTTTTTCTGCACTTCAAAAGTGGAAGTGATGGTGGGATAGCAGTCTGAACAAGAGGACAGAGGGGAGCTGCATGCACTTGCCTGTAATCCCAGCTCTTTGGGAGATGAGGGGAAAAGGATCGATCACCAGTTTGAGGCCAGCCTAGGCAACTTAGCAAGGCTCTGTCTCAAAATTTAAAAAATACAGAGGGCTGGGGATGTGGCTCAGTGGTAGAATGCTTGCCTCACAAGCCCAAGTACCACCCAAAAGCAGGCAGAGAAGGAGAGAAAACAACGATAATCAGCACTAGACTCGTAAGTAATGGCTACCTGAGGGGCCAGGAAAGAAGACTGGAATAAGAAACAAACAGAACCGGAGAGCTAGACAACTTTAGCCTGTTCAGATCATCTCTTTAGGCTAAAGATTTAACCCCGGCGTTCCTCTCATGGCAGTCTACCCAAGCCAGTCAAGTAAAAGGCCTAAAACAATCACAGGGTAACCAACTTTGTAGATTTGTTAGAGCCCTTTGGGGCTGGATGTTAAACCTTTCTCTTGGTTAGAATATCCCAGGGTGGGACCACTTTCCTGTTGAGATGAATTAATCCATTCAACCAAGGTAGAAAAAGTGTTTCTGCCTGAGAGTTCCATTTTTAGATACCAAAGAGGACCAGGACGAAAGATTCTTTAGAGGTGAACTCTTTCAACCGAAGAGTTATTAGCATAAGCCCTGTAAAAATTTTGTTCTAAAGCACATAATCTCAAGAATTAGGATTTGTGGTCCAGGTGTGGTGGTGCGCACCTGTAATCCCAGCATTCGGGAGGCTGAGGCAGGAGGATTGCTGTGAGATCAAGGCCTGCCTGGGCTACATAGTGAGATCAGGGCTGCCTGAACTACAAAGGGAGACCCTGCCTCAAAACAACAACAACAACAAAAAAACAAGAATTAGGACTTGTGACTACCTGCAAGGTCCCCATAGTGGATTTCTTGTTCACCTTGGTATGTTTCAGTTTAAAGATGACACCCCAGGGATGGCACTTTGACAAGCTGAACTGAAGAAAGTCTCAGAATCCAGGTCTCCCTAGTATGCCATTTCTTCCCTAAGCAGCAAGAGGGCCTTGTAGGAGACTGAGAAAATGTCTTCCAAAAGAAATGGCAATTGTTTTAAGCTCCCTCCCTAGGAATCTCATCAACTAACAGGAAGGATTAATCAGTGAGAAAGGGGGAGACTAGACGTCCACACCCAGATAGGCTTTTAAGGTTTTGTGGTTTTTTTTTGGTACTGGGGATCGAACTCGGGTCCTTGCTCTTGTGCAGCAGGTGGCGAAACCACTGAGCTAAATCCCCGGCCCCCAGATAGGCTTTCATCTCTTCTTCTGAGCTTCTAGAGGTTTTCTGGGACACTTACTTGCTAACATAATTTGCTGTTTATATGCGTAATAGGACTCTATTCTGTGCAGTTACCCTGCCCCGATGAAGAAGAGTAAGCTTCAACCATCTGGCCTCTTTTCTCAATCATATATTTTGTACGATTCCACATTAATAGATTTATTTTGCTTTTTCTTTTATTAATCTGCCTTCTGTTATGGGGTACAGGCCATACCCCATCATGATACCCAGGAGAGGGTCCACCTCTTTGCTGTTCCTACAGTGCTCTTCAGTCTGACCTCATGCCTCATGCTCAGTTGGCTGAGCAGAGAATCTCAGGATATTCTTTGACTTCTAACAATTCAAATCTATTTGTGTAATTGCATGCTTTTATAATCTTATTTCATCATTGCCAGTTAAAAGTAAATTCCTCATCTTCCCCATTCATACACTGGTTCCGATCTTTATTCCTGCCACTTAACCAGAGAGCTGTGCTATTCCTTCTGCCCTGACCATTGTCTTCCTTTTTTTTTTTTTTCTTTTGGTATTGGGGATTGAACTCTGGTCCTTGGGCTTTGGAGGCAGGCGGCAGAACCACTGAGCTAAATCCCCGGCCCAGCATTGTCTTCCTTTTAAGCCGAACTCATCACCACTTCTGCAGCCATCTACAAAATAGAACAGGATCATTCTTCTCAGTACCTTTTTTATAATTGACCATGTTAGGTCCGAACTCCTTCATACTGGGGATTCCTAATTTGTATTCCTATTTCTAGTGTTCTAATCTGAAAAATAGTTACATTTACCGTATTATAGTAAAGTTCTGTATTACATAACAGTGCATAGCATTTCACACTGCCATTGCACTTAGTGTTTTAACTCCCAAAGTAAAAACATAATTTTGCAAGTGGAAAGCAATTTCAACTCCCTTTAATAGAGGAACACTTGTAGGTATTATCAGTAGGTCACTATGGCTGGACTGCCCAAGCTTAGGCATCCAAGGAATGTGTGTTCTAGATTTTATATAGTTGCTACCATAGGTGACAAGGAGTAGCTCAGCCTAATAAAGGTGAAACCTACCTAGGTCATCTGTGAATCTTTTGGTCCCAAGCCTTATGTAAATATGGTATAACAAAAACTTAATGCCTGACCTTTTGTGTATATACAGATAACAAGTTGCTGGAAAAGTCAGATCTTCATTCAGTGTTGGCCCAGAAACTACAAGCTGAAAAGCATGATGTACCAAACCGGCATGAAATAAGGTAATTTGAAACTGACTTTATATTATTATTACTTTTTTTTTTTTTCTGGTACCAGGGATTGAACTTGGGACCTTTCACTTGCAAGGCAGAACCACTGAGCTAAATCCCTGGCCCTATTATTAGTATTTTTTAAACTAACCTTGTCTTTGAAGTTTGTCTAAGTTCACTTGTCACTTCTCTGAAAGCAAACCGAGTAACTAAATAGTTCAAAAGATAAACATAGACCTAGAAAGCTTAACAGTACAATGCTGTCAGCTTGAGAAATTACTTAAGGTGAGTTCATAGGGTAAACCTGAGTCACATTCTCTTCTGACCCACCAGGGTTTACTTCTTGAATAATCAGAGACAAGTTTTCCTGAGTAGGCCTTCAGAGCTCCTGTTAATACAGAATTGACTGACAAACACAAATTGCTTTTTGTCCACTGTGGTTCTATTTGATCTTTTTTAGCCTTGTGGGGGGTTTGTTTTTTTGTTTTTTAGAAACAGGGTCTCACTTTGTAGTTCAGGCTGGCCTCGAAAATGCAGCAATTCTCCTGCCTCAGCCTCCCAAGCGCTGGGATTACAAGCGTGTGCCACCACACCTGGCTTGGTGTTTTTCAACATTAACTTGTGAAATCAAATCCACGGGTCACAGCAAGCTTTTATGTTTTTTCTAAGAATAGGTTAGAAAACAATATCAGTATGTTTTAATAGGATTAGTCTTGTCTTGTTGCATTAAATACATATATGTTCATATGGGGTACTTTGTATGTTTACTGGGTCATTTATGTACATTTACAGTATTTTTCAAAGGTCATGGCCAAAAAGTCTGAAAGCTCTACTTCTTCAAAGCAGTGTAAATGGGGTTTCCTTCTTTTCCTGGTGTTTATGATGTTTGCATATTTGATGGTTTGTGTGGGAACAGTGCCCACTACTACTCTACTCTTTCACACATTGGGTAACACTTCATAATTGTAAAACAAGGTCGATAATTTAAGGCTTAAAAATAAATGGTGGGTGTGGCCTGATTAATCCTACCATAGAGACAGATGTGCTGTGTAGTGCCTGCCCTCCAAGGTTCCTTCCCAGGCCAGATCATCTCCTGGGAGGAGACAGAATGGGAAGAGTCCTCCGCCCACCGGAGTTCCGTCTGTCTTTCCCTCCTAACAGTTCATGAGGTGCTGTGTCTGTGGCCCGGGAGCCTTCTGTAGTATTTAAGATGCTAGTTGCAGCATCCCCGCTACATTTATGTATGGGTGGGCTCTTGGTGATTGTATTCATGTATCAGCTAGGCTCATTTGCTTGGGAAGGTGTTGTAAATAAATGAGCAACAATTCTTGTAGCTGAATTTCACTGGGCTGGTCTTTTCATTGGAAGTCTTTTCCTCCCTCAGACATTACCCAGATGAGCCTGACGCCTTGTTTCTATTATGGTGTCCCTGTTTTTCACTAGTCATCTGGACTGGTTCCTTTTTCCCTAAGTGTCCTGCCCCTCCCTGCCCTGTGTGCAGCCACCTTGGCCCTTGGTTCGCCTCTCCCCAGTCCTGGATTACATTTGTTTCGCCTCCCCTCCCTGTCATTCCTGGTCTGTGGCAGGAGTCTCACTTGCTCATTTGGGCCAGGCATTCGGGTTGCAGAGGTGGGGAAGCCCACCCCCACTCTTCGGGAAGAATAGCTCAAAGCCGTGTTTCCTTCCTCCTACCCTGTCTCTCCTAAGACCCATTTCATTCTAGTTTGCCTTAAATATAATTTTGAAGTGAGGGCTCACTATGTTGCCCAAGCTGGCTTTGAACGCCTGGACCTAAGTGATTTCCTACCTCAGCCTCTTCAGGGTCCAGAGCTACTGTCCTGCACCACCCCACCCAGCTTGAGTGTTTCTAAGTGTGTTCCTGGAGGTGAGCATCCTCTGGGAGCTTCTTAGAAATGTAGGTCCCTGGTCCCTCCCCTCCCTGCTGGATCTTTCTGGAGGTCCTTTAGGTGATTCAATTATTATAGACTGGCTGAGTTAGTTAAAATATTCTAGGCTGTCAGGCAGGGCTGGGCTCTCCTGAGAGTCATGCAGAAGATAAGGGCATATTACACCTGTGGCTGGAGTCACTTGGATGAGAGTCAGGCTTCTAGACAAGGAGAAATGACCACACCCATGTACTTCCCTAGGGATGAACCACAGTGATTGATCTAAATAGGCATCAGTCACCTTGGGTGGGGACCAAAACTTCCCTAGCCCTTTCCTTCCAGGAAAGTCCTTGGTTCGTCCCTGTACTCTTGCTGCATGACTTGCTTCCCCATTTGATCCCCATTTAATCAATATTTCCTAAGCGACTATACTTGTAATCTTATTAGTTGACCATAGTTTTGTCCTACCTCATACCTACCTTGTGATTTCCATTGGATCAATATTACCTAAGTGACTATACTTGTAATCTTATTGGTTGACTTAGTTTTGTCCTGTTTTACACCTGCCTTACCTCATGGCTTTGTTCTATAAAACTCCCTTGAGAAGCAGGGTCTACAGACAACCCACTTTCCGGGCCCTCTTTTTGTCTCTCTTAAAAGTTTTCTTTCAGTAAATTCTTCCTACTCTTAACCTCCCTAATTCTTAGAATTCATTCTTCGATTTTAGAAAACACTTGACATGTTGTACATTCAGCAGGTTGGGAATTATATTCCCCTTATATTATTTGGAGGTCCATAGATCATCCCTGTATCATTTGCCCTGTATCACCATGACTGCTGTAGTGTGACCACCACACTTCCTGTAGCCCTGAGCGTGGAGTGGCCTGTGTCCTTTCTTTCTGTTCCCTGGCAGTTACTTAAGTGCTGTCTTCTACCATGAAGTTTAAGGGGTCTTCTGGTCCTTAGCGCCCTCTTCTTGATTTTCCTGTCTGTGATTGGCTCTTCCTAGGAAATTCTGCTCCAGTTGTCTTCTCCAACCCTTCCTCAACTGTCTTTGTTCAGGGAAATCTCTTCCTCCAAGTGCAGTTAATACTTTTGGCTTTCTTAGTATTAGTTTTCTTATCATGAATCTAGAATGCCAGCTTCTTGGGAGGAGGGGCTGCATCTTTTGCTTTGCATGTTCCACATTGCTTTGCATTTAAATAAGGGAATTTGATAAGTAATTTCTTTCTTTCTTTTTTTTTGGTACTGGGGATTGAACTCAGGTCCTTTCGCTTGGGAAGCGGAACCCTGGAACCGCTGAGCTAAATCCCTGGGCCTTTGATAGGTAATTTGTGATTGCTTTCTAATTTAGAGCAGTTTCATTTAAGATGTGGTCCACTTTGTAGTCTCTTGGCCTGTACTTCCTGGGCTAAGATTAGGGAAGTCCCGGGCTGTCTCAAAGGGCCTGGTATTCATTTGAGTTAGGTATGTGACGTAAAGTTAGGAAAGGTGTTTATACTGCCCCTGTTTGTTCCCTTTTTAGGGTATTATACCTCATACAGAGTGGGTCCCTCTCTCTCAGATCTGGGTATCCTCGTGCCCACCCTTATTTTCTCCATCTATGAGCTCTTCCGGGGCGGTGGATTCACCCACTCAAGGTGGGCTGATAATGCTCATCTGTAGCTCCAGCTGAGACCCCTCTCCTGAGCCATCGGTCCAGTTGTGGTCAGTTTGAGCCTCATGGGACCAGGAGGTCTCTGGAGCAGAAGGGTTTATTGAGCCATCTCGATGCTAGCCAGAACAGGAAAGGGCCCAGTGCTAGGACACCTTCCCGAAGCTACCAGCAGCAAGGGTAAGTCTCTGTTGGCGAATGTCCCCTGAGCAGATATAAGAGTGGTTTGTGTAAACTTTGGAGGAAACGGGACCTGGCTGGAGCCCACATAGGAAAAGCTTTGGGATAGGAGGGACAGCCCTAACCAGAAGTGATTGCTTCTGGACAGGCAAGAGGTCAGGAGTCCAGAAGGGTTACAGGTAAACAGGGTGGGGTGGTCTGCTGTGTTGGATTCAAGTCAAAGTTTCAACATAAAAACTTTTGCCTGCAGCTGTTAACTGATTAACTTTCCTTATCTGTTCTCCCTGCACCCTCTGGTCTTTGTAATTTAAGATATCTCAGAGTTTTTCTTTATCATAGTCTTGCTATTTCTGAGATACTGTGCAAAAACTTGTAAAGTTTCCAAAACTGAGTTGGCTCCGGAGTGGTCTGAACTCCCAAGGTTTCAGGCCGTCTGGTTGCTGACCTCTGTACATCTCAGTACACCTGCCCACAAGCCGATGTTCAGGCCAAAGGCCACAAGTCATCCCCTTCCATACCCAAGGGAAGCTCTGTAGCCACCCTTCACATCTCACCACCTCCACTTCTGCTGCCGTGGTGTGAGCGCACCCTCTTGGCTCTGGGCTGCACAGTAGTAGACTGCTAACTGTGCTCCCTGCTTCTGTGCCTGTGCCCCTTGCTGTCCACTCCAAACCCCTCTGCAGTGTGGGGAGGCTCAGCGGCCTCACACCTCCTCGGCCTCCACTCCTTTCCCCTCTGCACCTGGCCTGGGACCTTCCCCCAGCTCACCCACCCTCCACCTCCTTCTAGACCTGCCCCTCTCAGAGCCCTCTGCTCAGTGCCCCCTGCCCTGGGAGACCGCATGGCTTGTTCTTCACTTTCTGGTCTCCGGTCATCTGTCCCTTCCTCAGGGAAGCCCTCCTTGATGCCTCTTCCCAAACAGATCCTTGCTGCTCTGTTCCTTCCGTCCCCACTGCACTTGCTCTGCAGCACATGACTCGTGCTTGCACGCGTCTGCTGACTGTCCGCCTGTTCTTGATTGGCCGGCAGCTGCATGAGAGCAGAGCTTGGCTGGCTGCCTTCTCCTCAGTGCCAGCAGTGCCTGGTACGTGGCAGGCACACTAGCTCTTGGCAGAGCACAGACTCCTTGGCTGCCTGGGTCTACTTGCTCTTCACTCGGGAGCCCAGCCTGTATTCCTGACCTGGCTAGTGGTTGCATTCATGTTTGGTTTCCTGTGCCTCACATCTCCTACTTCCCACTTGCAGTGTCTCATAACAGTTGATGCTGCTGGGGGCGCTAGGAGGTTTTGGCTGGTGGATGTGTATATATGTGAAATTGTAAAGGTACTGTTCCCTTGCCTAGTTACAGAGGTGTGGTCTGATTCCCTTCTTTGTTGCATATTCTCTTGATTTGGCTGATGGTGGCTTAGTCCTGGACATGATGGCACATGGAATGACAGTCAGCTACAGGAAATGGCCCAGCTGAGGATTAAACACCAGGAAGAACTCACTGAATTACACAAGAAACGTGGGGAGGTAAAAATCGCCCCTCAACCCATCTGTCTTTGCTCCCTGCAAGAGTTCTGCAAGGAAAATGGGAAAGCAGCCATCTCCCCGAGAGTTTGCCGCAGCCTGGCTAAGTTTGGCCTTACAAGCTCTCTTTAGGGGGGTGAGAGAGGCCAAGAGAAACCATCAGAAAGCCCAGGGCCCCTCAGCAAAAGGCAAGCCAGACCCCTCAATTCCGTGCCCTAACAGCAGTGAGACACAAGTGAGGAAGCTTTTGAGAACAAAGGGGCTACCTGGCTGATCACTGAAGAGCTTCCTCTCTGAGGGTCACTAACACCCGAGAAAACCGCTCACCGTAGATGAGGTTTGTGGCAGAGCTCCAGCTGAGGAAGTGGGATTTATCATCAGTTCAGCTGGGTTACTGGTGAGGTTGAGGGGTAGATGAGTGTCCTCAGCAGGGAGCAGCAGGAGATCCCGCGCACCTCCCCATAGGCCCTTCCACTCTCTGCCACTACCCTCTTCTCAGTACCTTTGCTCAAACCCACAGCACCTTTCCTTTCTTAAAAACACAGCAGTCACACCAGGCATGGTGGTGCATGCTTGTAATTCCAGCACTCAGGGGGCTGAGGCAGGAGGATCACTGTGAGTTCAAGGCTGGCCTGGGCTACATAGCAAGACCCTGCGTCAAGAAGAAACAAATACAGCAGGCACTCGCTGTGTAACCTCCAGGTGTGGCCCTAAGGTCTCTCGCTTATGAGTTTCTTTTATTTCCCAGTTAGCTCAGTTGGTGATCGACCTGAATAACCAGATGCAGCAGAAGGACAGGGAGATACAGATGAATGAAGCAAAGTGAGTGGAGACTGGCCCTCCTCGGGCCCTGGCATGGGGCAGGGTGTCACATGTCCTGTTTGGCTGTGCTCCTAAGGACACAGCCAGTGGTGGGAGGGAGGTGGCTGAGTCCCTGCAGGGCCTACAGGCCGGAGTCCTTTTCTGCAAGCTCTGAGAAGGAAATGCAAGGCCTCTGGATTCCCAGCGTGCTCCTTGAAAGGCAAGGCCCGTGAAAGTGTCCAGGGGCATTCACAGCTCTCATGGCCACTGCACGGGGACACCAGCCTCTTCCTGTGGTGGAGTTGGGACCGTGATGTCTGAGCCCATGCCCCTTAGCATGCATGGGTCCTGTGTGACCAGGAGCATTTTTGGTCGGAGGAAGCCTGGGAGATGAGAGAACAGGGACTCAAATTCCTAGTAGCTAGAGCTGAGGAGACTCCGAGTCTTGTTCCTCTGTGTAAGCACCTGAAGCTCCCTTCCTGCCAGTCCTGCTTCCCTGGGAGCTGCCTTCACTGCTGATTCCTGTCAGCAGGAACCTCGCCCTGAGGGGCTTCCTGAAAGGATTGTCCTGGAGCGGCAGCCTGTGTTCCTCTCCTGGCCCAAGCCTGTGCAGCTGGGCCCTGGCGAGGGACTCCTGGTGTCATGCTTTCAGAATCGCGGAATGTTTGCAGACCGTCTCTGACCTGGAGACAGAGTGCCTGGACCTGCGCTGCAAGCTCCAGGACCTCGAGATCGCCAACCAGACCTTGAAGGACGAATATGACGCCCTGCAAATCACCTTCACCGCCTTGGAGGAGAAATTGAGGAAAACTACTGAGGAGAACCAGGAGCTGGTCAACAGGTGGATGGCCGAGAAGGCCCAGGAGGCCAACCGCCTTAATGCTGAGAACGAAAAGGACTCCAGGTGGGAAATGTGTTGCTGCATAGCTAAATAGTATTTGTTCTTACGGTGTTTATAAAACCATTTACATTCAGTATTTGGAGAATGCTTAATAACATGAAAAAAAATCCCTGAAATAATATAACTGGAAACATAGACATACTCCCAGCTTTGTATTTTTAAGACTGGAAGGGATCACACTGTTCGTGGTGTTTATTTGGCATGGTGAGATGATGGTTTTTGTCGGTCTCACTGTGCAGTTCAGGCCGTCCTTAACTCACCATGTAGCCCAGGCTGTCCTTGAACTCCCAGTGATCCTCCTGCCTCAGCCTCTCAAGTGCTGGGATTACAGGCGTGCGCCACCATGCCCATCTTGTCTTATGTTTTACTGTATTTCATGACTTTGAAGTTGTTTGTATTGCTTTGTGGTCCTGGAAATTGAACCCAAGGCCTCAGAGGTGCCAAACAACCACTCTACCACAGAGCTGCATCTCCAGCCCTTTTTTATTTATTTTAAGACAGGGTCTGGCTAAGTTTTCCAGGCTGATCCTCCCGCCTCTGAGTAGCTGGTGATACAGGCGTGGGCCACCCTGCCCAGCTTGAAGTGCCTGCCTGCCATTCTTGACAGTATGAGATTGGCTGGCCCCCTCCGGGTGGAGTTCACACCAAAAGGCAGCCAGAGGCAGGAGTCAGGGCAAGGCCCCTGGTTCCGAGGGAGGGAGGGAGGGAGGGATGGAGCGAGGGAGTGAGCATCACAGGCAGTGATGGGTAGCAGGGGCTTTCTGAAGGGACTTGTTTCTATCTGCCTTTGTTCTCCTTCCTCCCCTTGAGGGGTCCTGATGGCAGGTGTGGGGCCTGCGGAGTCGAGTCCTAGAAGCCTTCCCTCCTGTTGCCTGTGCTCTGCCAGCCCCATTGCCATGTCCCCCCCTTCTATTTGTAGCGGCTTTTGTTCACCTGGGTAGTGAGCAGAGGATACAGTTTGGAAACAACCCTTCACATCCTGCCTCCTGCAGTGGTCTGTGTCCGTGTCCCACAGTCGGCACAGTGGCTGCTGTGTAAGATGTGCTGGGATGTAAGAGAGGCAGCACGAGCACCGGCCCCTTCTGTGCCCAGAAGGCCTGGCTGCAGTGCTGTTTGGTTCTCCCTGCCCTGCAGGACGGGAGGGACTGAAGTGAGAGGAGTGGGTTTTGGACAGTGCAGCAGTGCCTTCCCTCTAGCACAGTGTTGCTCACCTGTCCTGGGCCCAGATTCTGCTTTACACACACGCACGCACACACACAGCCACGCACACACACCGGTAGTCTGTGAGTTCTCTCTTCCAGCTATGAATATTTTGATAAATTGTGGTTTTTGTATTCTATCCTGGAAAACTTAATTTTCACCCTAGTAAGGTACCCTCTCTCTTCCCACTTTTCCCCACTTGAGAGTCATGACTGTGAGAGGCTTAGGACTCGGTGATTGGTGTTCAGAAGCAGTGCTGGGGCAGCAGATGGGCCTTCCCATGGAGAAGTGGCTGTGGAGCTAAACACTGGGGAGGCAGGGAGGTACTGAATTTAGCCTGGCAAGGAGGATCAGGAGTGACTGCGAGGGGGGATGGATGAGACTACTGGCCACGACTTCTGTAATGACAGTGCAATTGTGCACACTTTGACAGGGACCTTCATTGCACCGCATTCACATACACTGGGAATGATGGTGCGGTCAGTCATTGGAATCAACAGGCTCCACCTTGGTTGAAGATACTCAGGAAAAACTTGGGATTTGTGCTGAGCATGTATCTTACTGCTGTCTTCATTTCCTAAACAGTGCAGTACAATTACTATTTACATAGCATTTACATTGTACCGCTGATCATAAGTCAGCTAGAGATGATTTGAAATACACAGGAGGATCATGTTACGTTCCACTCAGTTACTGCGCCGTTTTGTTTAGGACTTGAGGGTCGGGGATCCAGGTGTCCACTGGAGAGGATTGTCCTGCAGCCAGGGCCCCACAGACACGGTGCAGGCGGGGAGAGTGTAGCTGCATAGGTCACCAGGCTTTTAGAAGGGTTATAACTATTGCAGCAAGCCAGGTCACAGGTCTAGCCCTGCAGTATGGCTGCAGGGGTTTCCTGTCCCAAGAGGCCCTGGGTCCTGGCAGGCCAGCCCCTTCCTTACACAGTCTCCTCCAGGTTGTACTCTGAAACCATTTCCATGGGGAGCCTCACCACTGGCCAGAGTTGGTGATGTTGGGTATTTGCCTATGGTGGCTGTTGTTTTAGTTGCATTGAATATTCAATTGTGTCATCAGAACTAGAAGAGAGTAGATTATGGAGAGTGAAAACCCCACGCAGACATGAACAGGGGACTGTTTTATTTTAAATAGGCGGCGGCAAGCGCGACTACAGAAGGAGCTCGCGGAAGCAGCGAAGGAGCCTCTGCCAGTAGAACAGTAAGTAGAGATTAGTCGATCCAAACCATGCTCTTAATGCTTTTCTCGTTTTACATAGTTTTATAATGTTTTTATTTTTATAAAACCACTTTACGGATTTTAGAAAGAGACCTAAAAAGTTAAAGGCAGAAAGCAAGTCATATTTCTACCACTGCCCAGAAAATAACATCCACATGGTCATTTTCATTGTGTTTTGGTGTCTTCTGATATCTCACATAGAAATAATGTACTAGATGTGGTCTTTGATCATATTTCTGTTTACTTTCTTGGGATAGATTCATAAAAGTAAAATCGTCTATTGAAATGTGTTTTGGAAAATAGTTTCCAAATAATGATTTGCTATTAAAACTTAGAAGGTGTTGCCAGATTACCTCACCAAAACCCTGTTCCTGTTTACGCGCCTCAGCAGCAGTGAGCGTGAATCTAGCTTCCTGCACACAAATCATCTCACTGTTTCCTTTTGACACTTTGGTCACTTGTTTGCCTTTAGTTGGGCCTGTCATCATGTAACCTGGCCTGAGGTTTGTTCTCATCCTCGGTCTTTGGTTTATGACTTTAAGTGTAAGTTTTAGCAAATCTTTGAAACATAACTGAAGTCTTAGAAACATGAGATCCCTTGGAACAAAAGGAATTGAGTGTATTGTGGAGCTTTTCCTAATCTGCCTGCAGGTTGGAGAGTTTTGCTGGGATTTGTAGCTTTGTTTTGGGAGTGGTAGATATTTTAATAACAAAATCCCTTTTGCTCTAGTTCAGGATAGATTCCTGTCGAAATATGTTTTGGAAGATAGTTTCCGAATTATGATTTGCTATTAAAATGTGGGTTGCTTCCTTACAAGTGGAGGAGTGGTTAAATTCAGTTAGGTGTCAGTTGCCACGTGTCTGCATTTATGAGAAAACAAAGGCGGTCGCACTAAACCTTTGGTCTAGATGTGTAGGGTATGTGTGTCTTTTGCCAACTTAGATATATTTTCCTAAGCTGCACAGTAGATAAATAGTTGACCTGGAAATGAGACCTGGTTCTTTAAAAAAATAGGGCCAGGGGCCGGGGATTTAGCTCAGTGGTTAAGCCGCCTGTCTCGAAAGCTCAAGGACCGGAGTTCGATCCCTGGTACCAAAAAAGAAAAAAAAAACTGATGTTGGGCCAGGGATTTAGCTCAGTGGTTCTGGTGCCTGCTTTCAAGTGCAAGGTCCCGAGTTCGATCCCCAGTACAAAAAAAAAAAAAAAAAAGGTTTGAGGCCAGTCTGGGCAACTTAGGAAGACCCTACTTCAAAATAAATTCTTTTGGTTTTTGAGACAGGGTTTCACTTTGTAGTTTAGGCTGGCCTTGTACATAATGTGTAGCCCAGGGTGGCCTGGAACTCAGAGCAATAATCCTACCTCAGCCTCCTGAGTGCTGAGATAACAGGCATAAACCATGCCTAGCTCACTGTATAATTTGGCGAGCAGGGGGGTGGGGCTGAGCATGAGCTAAGTGGTAGAGCACCTGCCTAGCCTGTGAGGCCCTGGGTTCAATCTCCAGTGCCACCAACCAAAAAAAAACCCTCTGCTTACAAGAGTGTCCTTTGCCTCTTCCAGTTTATCCAGGTGAGACATGAAATGGGCCCAGCATCCTGGCTGGGATAACATAGAAACGACCTGCACTAGGATGCAAACTTGGGGGTCTGGCTGTGGAGGTTTTCGTAATCTCTTTTTGTCAAAGAGTAGAATTTCTGGGTCTAAGAACACGTTCATCTTTGAAGGGTTTTCATGAGAAGTTCAAGTTGTTTTCTTGTGGTCACACAGTTCCAGGTCCTCCAGGATCATAAAATACCACGTTCCCGCTGGCTTGAACCACTGGGGGTGCCTGCATGGCTGTCCCACTGGGCAGCTTGTACCTCCTGATGGGACAGCCGTTCATGTACTACCACCTGTGGTTCAGGGTCACCCAGCAGTGAGACAAATGGGTTGTGGCACTGTTGTGAATGTGCTAAACAGCATTGCCAGAGGCTCAGCTCATTTCTGCTCCTCTAGCCCTCTGTGGGTCTCTGTTGCCCTCCCATGAGCACACGTGACTCCCACAAACTTAGGTGTGTGAAGAGCAGCCAGGAAAGGTCAGGTACAGCCTGGATGTACCTGTTTATTTTTCTTGTACATCCTGGCCAAGAGTGTGGGACAATGATACGTAATTCTAGAATAAATAAAGGAAAACAGGGCCTGGGATTTAGCTCAGTGGTTCCACCGCCTGCCTCACAAGCTCAAGGTCTCGATCCCTGGTACCAAAAAAAAAGGAAAGAAAGAAAACAAATTTGACATGGTTTAACTTGCTTAGTAACAAGTTCTTAAATATATATTCACACAATCCTCATAATTAATCATAGAAAAGGAAAAATCTTGCTTTTGAGGGCTTAAGAATCCAAACAGTAGGTAAAGAAATCTTGGGCTATTGCACTTTATTTTTTTACTTCTCTATGAAGATTGCAGCTTAGTGGGAAGTCATTAAGACCAAAATAATTACTTGCTTTCCCCCTCGGTCAGGAAAACTCAGCCTGTAAAGATGTGGAGGACAGGGGATTATTCTAGAAGTGTTTTGCATCTGCTGGATAAACATCAGCAAAAGGAGTGTGTTCCTATGTGTAGATGGTGTCACTCAGAATTCAGCAGGCTGTCCACATGTTGGCAGCATGGAACTGTAACATAAGTGTGAGATTCCCAGAGTCAAAAACAAATACTGGAGGGCTGGGGATTTAGCTCAGTGGTGCCGCTGCCTGTCCCGCAAGTGCAAGGACCCGAGTTCAATCTCCAGTACCAAAAACAAAACAAAACAAAAAAAACCAAATACTGGAATCCCAGCACTCGGAGGCTGAAGCAGGAGGATCACCTTGAGTTCAAGGCCAGCCTGGGCTACATAGGGAATTTAAGGCCAGCCTGGACTACTAGTGAGACCATGTCTCAAAAAAACAAACACAAAACAACAGATACAGCAGTGTGCATGTTTTGCTTTGGACAGTTGTTCTCAGCATCTTGGTTCAAACGGATTCAGTTTCTTTTCACACTTCTCCAAAGTGGTGGGTGGCTCTTCCCTGTCTCCAGGGAACCCTTCATTGTTGCTGCCCTGGCCACGTCTCAGGTTGTCTGGGACTAGAGAATGACATTGGCCTGTGCAGAACTGGTTCAGCCACAAAGGTCCTGTTTCACACTGTGACACAATCTCGTGCCCTTCTTTCCAGGGATGACGACATTGAAGTCATCGTGGATGAGACCTCTGATCACACAGAGGAGACCTCTCCTGTGCGAGGCATCAGCAGAGCCGCCTCGTAAGTAGCTGGGTGGGCTGGGTGGGCAGCGCTTAAGTGGCAGTGTGACCTCGCAGGTGTGGACAGGACAGGAGCATAGCTGGGTGCACCCAGACCCCGAAGCCCCGGGTGGTCTCACCCCATGGTGCTGGCCCATCTGCCTTGCCCACCTCCACTAAGGAGAATGGAGGGAAGCAGAGTGCATGCGGCCTCGGTCTTCCTAACAACAGATGGCCAGTTCAGTGTATTCAGTAGAATGACTGTTCCGATCCCAGAGCTCAAGGTATTTTAGGTTGCTAGAGCAGGACTGAGAAAATGGGGATTGGTTATAAACACCCAGAAATTGTTAGGTCAGTTAGACAGATTCCTGTCCTAGGCTTGATTTCTGGGGGAATTGATTTCATACTAGGAAAGCTTATTTCTTTTAAAATTTCTAGGCTGGATTTCCCTTTTTTTTTTTTCTTCTCGGTACCGGGGATCGAACTCAGGACCGTGTGCTTTCCAGGCAGGCACAGTGGCCCTGAGCTAAACCCCCAGCCCTGGATTTCCCTTCTGCCTTTCCCGTTATTTCCTGGCAGTTCAGATGCTGTGCTGAGTCTCTCAGCTGGGGTTTGAGGACTAAATGAGACGCATACTCCCGGGTACCTGTTTTTATGGGCTGTTTTGATTGACTATTTGGGCAAAATGTTTCTAAGGTTTAAACCTATCCTCCCCTCCTCTTTAGTAAGCGACTCTCGCAGCCTGCTGGAGGCCTTCTGGATTCTATCACTAATATCTTTGGGTAGGTTAGAAGACCTTTCCTTTTTAAAATGTGCATAAATATACTTAAGCATATGTATGTGGGTAATGATTTTTTAAATGTACACCAGAATTTCAGTGATGCAGAGAATACAGATGCCTTAATTTTGGCTTTTCGTTTAGCTTCCACCTTTTTTCTTTAACCTCCTTTCTGTTAATCCTGCTGTGTGCTGATCTCTGGCCTTTCCCTTTAGTCTGTCCGACTCTCCCCTTTTGGGACATCACTCTTCTGATGCTGCCAGGTGACAATACCCCCTCTCTCAGCCCAGCATGTGAATGTGGGTCGTTGATAATCACGCTGAGCGCGCTGCACCGCCCGCAATCATCAGATGTTCTCATGCTAACCAGGATGCTTTGCATGCTCCTAGGAGTGAGTGCTGATCACCCAGCATTGAGGCGGGCCGAACTGCCCGTTGGGTCATTGCACTCCTGTCAGCACTGTCTTTTGGCATGCGTTCAGCTCTGTCTTGGCCACCTGTGTACACTGAGGGTAATAATAATGAGGTGTAGACATCATCTTAGAATAGTGTTACAGAGGTACAGAGTCAGCCACTGAGTTTGTGCTGTAAGTGGACAAAGTTCCCCAGCAGTTGACTAACAGGGTAAGCAGTTGTTGTTCAGGACTGCTTTTCTATGTTGTCTTGGAACCTGTGGTTTAGCAGGCAGGAGAGTAAAGTGTGCGCTAGCTTCCCTTGTTGTCATTTGAGTGAGGTTCTGATTTTGTGGGTCCTTCTGTGGTTTGAAGGGTCCGGAAGGGAAATGGCCATGGGCAAAGGCAGTGTGCCGAGGGAAGTTAGTCTCTGAGGCCTGGCAGCTTGGTGAACGCGGTCCTCTGCCATCCTGTCTCACACTTGCCTTTGTGTTGTTCCTTAGGAGACGCTCTGTCTCTTCCTTCCCAGTCCCCCAGGAGGTACCTGTGGATGCTCATCCTAGTCCTGGTAAAGACGTGAGAGTGCCGACTACTGCCCTGTGTGTCTTCGTGAGTATGCCCCATCCCCACTTCCCTGGTCTGGGCTTGCCATGGGGCTCACCTGCTCACCTGCATCAGCCTCCTTAACACCAGCTGGCTCTGTCACCTGGGAGGGGTCGCATGTGCTCAGCTTCAGAGCACAGAATTTATTGCTGCCATGCTCCATAAAGGGGCTGGCCCAGATACAGGGGATGGGGCGAGGAGCAACAAATTAGAGGTAGCTTGTGCAGGCATGGTCTCCAGTTAACTCCAGTGAGAGGGAGGTCCCGGCGGATGGTCTGATTCGGAAGTCCAGCCAGGCAGCTCTTGGTTTCATAAATAAAACTGGCTGTTATGGTTTCACCACGCAGAGCCTGTGGTTGGAAGCAGGGCACAGTCCTGGGCAGAGGCCACTGTGACACTGCTTGGAGTTCAGAGCCAGGTCCTGGTGCTAACAGATAATTTGTGTCCCCACCTGCGCAACCAAGCAGAAAGTGACCCAGTCCCTGGGGTTGAGGGGGCCCACACCAAGGGCTCAGCATTGGCTTGGCAATTGTTGGGTGGAGGGGGTGATCATGGAAGCTGCTCCTGAGGATGGGAACCCTTGCCATAAAGATAGAGTGGCAGTTAGATGGCATGAGGAACCTGTTAACGGAGGTTTTCTATGAAACACTGAGCAGGCCCACCGTGAGCTGCCCTGGCTGCTGAGTAGAGTCCCATGTTGGAGGAGGAGTCGGACAGGGGATGCAGGGCCCCTCCACAGCCCACCCTGCTCCTGTGATTCCATAACGGGCCTGGCCCTTATGGAGGTCGATGATGATTGGTAAAAGGTCTGATGCACCGAATGTCACAGTCCCTTCCGTGCCCTCAGCTCCCAGCAGCCCCTTGTGTTTCCTGGCACAGTTCAGTTGTGTGCCCAGGACAGCGGAGCGGCTGATACTCAAGGACCCTGTTGGTGTGTGTGTCTGAGAGTGAACAGTTCACAGCCGACCCAGGTCCGACACAAGCGCTTACATAGGAGCTTGTTGAGTGGTGGCAGGGCGTGACAGGGCATGATCTCAAGTTTTCAATCTGAGACCTCCACTGGGGAAAGATGTGGGAAAGTTACATAGAGGTAAAAAGTCTCAAAAAGTCTCAGATTCTCAGTGGCCAGGGAAAGTAGGAAATAACATCGCCAAAATGCTGCTCATTTTCCAGTCAATAGAGGCGCTTTCTGTGTAGGTCTGTCTTCTGGGGAGGATCCCAGCAGGGTGTTTTACCCGGAAATATTCCCAAACCCACCTCCCCGTTTAGGAGAGTCTATTACAGTGATGCCTTCCTAGTCCCTCCCCTTCTAGGATGAGATGTTTCTTTATACCTACTTTTTCTCGGCCACATGTGCCATCTTTAGCTCAGATGAGTCCATGTTTATGTTGAGTCCCAGAGATTTCCTGGGAAGCATTTTAAACTCTTTCAGAATAACAGCTGATACTTGTATTTATGGCCTAAGCTGCTTTTATAGATGAACAAGCTGAGACTTCAAGGAGTGAAGAAGCTGGCAGAGGTCACGGTGCTGGCACACGGTAGTGCCATAGTCATAGTGTTCCCAGGAAGAACTGCAGGGATCCCTGTAACTGATGGGTGTCTCGCAGTGGGACTAGCATCTGCATGTATCAGGGGTCATCAGAAAACCATTATTGTGAAAGGCCATGCACTGCATATTGTTCAGATACATTGTGCTTAATATTAATTAATGAGAAGTTAGTGGTAGAGGGAAACCTGATAATCTGGAACCAAAGAGGGATTTTTTTTTTTTTTTTTTTTGGTACCGAGGATCGAATTCGGGTCCTTGCGCTTGCGCAGCAGGCAGCAAAACCACTGAGCTAAATCCCCAGCCCAAGGGATTTTAATTCTAGGCCTTTTTTTTTGGAGACAGGGTCTCACTATGTAGTTCAGACTGGCCTCAAATGCTTGGCGATCCTCTGCCTCAGACTCCTGAGTGCTGGGATTACACAGCATGGGCCACCACACCTGGCCCTAGGCCTATTTCTCCCCCACCCCCAACGGAGATTGAACTCAGGACCTTGTACTTGCCAGGCAGGCGCAGCACCACTGACCTACATCCCTGCCCCAAGTCCTATTTTTAAGCTAATATTATTGAAATGTCATTCTTAGAAAAATAAAACAAAGGGCCGGGGATGCTAATGCCTGATCTCATCTTGCAGGATGCACACGATGGGGAAGTCAATGCCGTGCAGTTTAGTCCCGGCTCCCGGCTGCTGGCCACAGGAGGCATGGACCGGCGGGTCAAGCTGTGGGAAGTATTTGGAGGTGAGAGCCCACTAGAGTCCTGTGGGAGGGAGCTGTGTTGGTGGCAGCTGGTTGACCTTGCTTTCAGGTGCTCTTTGAATTATCTCAGAACAAAGCATTTTATGTAAGGAGTCATCTGACCAAAGCATTACTAGCATTTTGGTTTCTTTTTACGTCTGAGCAGATGTTTGCTCTGATTTTCCAAGTAGTGACCAGAAGTACCGGTGTTCAGGTTAGGAAGTCTTAGGTAATTTTTCTCATACCAGAACATCTTGCAAGATAGCATCCCTTTTAGAAGGGAAGTAAATCTCTAAATTAAACAGTACGTCAAGCTGGAGTATATGCACTTAATGATGGCCTACAAGAAGTAGATCAGAGCTTAGGAAAGAGGATTACCTAGGAGAAAGTGCATGGAGCCAGCGGGTGGAATGAGAGCATAATTCTGGTGCTGGGCACAGCTTAATTTTGACATTTTCCAGATTCAGCTGAATATGCGTATGTTAGAGAGCACAGCCAAAGACTCTTCAGAAGCCATTCTGGGTTTATAAGCCTTGGAGGGTTTGGGGTGTGAGTCAGTGCTGGAGCACTTCCCCAGCGTGTGCAAGGCTCCCTGTTCCATCCCCAGCACCACTAAAGAAATAAGTAAGATTAAGCAAATTGTTTTATTAGGCTGTACTGGCAGGCACTGCCTGTCAGTGAAATATAATTTTTTAAAATTTCTGTTCACATCTTAGAATTATTATCATGTCATGGGTTCTGAAGTACAGTAGTCACTTTGTACAAAAGTGATAGTTGTCATAGGTACTGATCAGACCCAAAGACTGCTGACTGTAAAGTAGAAAAAGTGACTGAGAAATAGTGGAACTAAATAAACTGAGTCTCCACTTTGATTGGCATGTTCTATGAAGTGTCCTACACTTTCCTCTTTTGTGTTATTGTTGTTGTTATTTTTTTGTTTGTTTGGTGGGGTTTTTTTGGTGTTTTTTGAGACAGGGTCTCACTATATAGCTAGCCTCAAACTCATGATTATCCTCCTGCCTCAGCCTCCTGAGTGCTGGGATTACAGAATGCATCGCTATGCCACGCCTACACTTTCCTCTTTGTGAGGGGAATTAATAATTCTAAATATCTTGAAGAACTAAGAGCACACACTCCTACAGCCAGGCCTGGTAGTGCAGGCCTGTAGTCCCAACACTCAGGAAACTAAGGCAAGAGGATTGCTGTGACCTTGAGACCAGCCTAGGTGACAGACATAGTGAGTTAAAGGCCAGCCTGCTCTACACAGTGATATCCTGTCTCAAAGAAAAAAGAACACATACAAAACACCACGGTCTGCATCGCCTTAAACATTCACTGTTGTTAAAGACTAACAGTATATTTTGCCTTTCATATCCTGTTTGTCCTACAGTTTGTGTTTCAGTGCCCCATTGAGACTCACTCACTGGCTTAACATCCTGTCTTTTCTCAATCTTTTTTTTGTGCAGACAAATGTGAGTTCAAGGGTGCCCTATCTGGCAGTAATGCTGGAATTACAAGCATCGAATTTGATAGTGCCGTAAGTATCTAGTATCTATGGTTTTAGAGGATTTTGAAGAACAATCTTAATACATCTGGTTCTTGAAATTAAAAAGTAACTTACCTTCACCGCCTGCTGCGCAAGTGCGAGGACCCGAGTTCGATCCCCGGTGCCAAAAAAAAAAAAAGTAACTTACCTGGTTTCTCTGCCATTCTATCTTAAGTCAAATCCATGTTGGCAGGGTGTGTTGGCTCGAGCCTGTAATCCAGGGGGCTGAGGCAGGAGGATGGAGCCCAGCCTAGGTTACATAGTGAGTTCAAGGCCAGCCTGAACTACATAGTGGGTCCTTGTCTCAGAAAACAACAACAAAATCCATCTTGTTAGAGGAAGGTGGAAGTGGATTTTGGAACTGATTAGTACACAGACTGACAAACCCCGAGGTTTAATTTGTGTCATAGCCGTCAGTGTTTTATGGGTTGAGATGCTGTGCCCTAGGGGCCAACGTGGTCCCTACCCTCAGGGAATCTGGTTTAAATGAGCAACGTGAGAGCTCTGAACCACAGGCTGTTGTGCTGAGGTGAGGGAAGATGGAGCTGCCGAGGGTTCCTTCTGGGGTGAGGCCTAGGGAACCAGTGGGCCATTTGAGGTCGAGTGGGCTTTCATGTTGCCAGAGGTCAGACCCAGGGTGTTGTGCTAACCAGCGCTGAGCTGCTGAGCTGCACAGCTGAACCCCTAGCTCCGGGAGGTTTCAGAAAACAGGTGTGGCGTTGAATCCCGGAGACCTGGCAGTGTAGAAGACTGGGTTGGGAAAGCAGGACTGCAGTGACCCATGTCTTGGGGCCTCTGCAGAGTTGGTCCAGCCCCAGGTGGTGGGGCCGGAGAGGCGCGGAGCTGGACGCTCGGAAGGAGGAGTCTTGGAGAGTGTTAGCTGGGAGATGAGGCGAGGGAAGAGGAGCGGTCCCTCTGGGCTTTCTGGCTTGGGTTGCATGTAGTGAGTTCGTCTTTGCAGTTACAGGAGGGGGTGAGGGTGAAGGTGAGCTCGGCAGGCTGAGCTGTCTAATGTTCAGGTAAAGTCTGGTGAGCTCAGGGGGCAGAAGGCCTGGACTTGAGGATGGTGAGTTGACATGCTGGTGGTAATACCTGGTGTTCAGCCTAGGTGTGTGATTTTAGGCATCTGAACCTTGGGTCTCATTTTATATCGTATGAACTGAATTCCTCTGTTTTGGCTAAAAGTTGTTTTTCCTTCCTTTTATTCCCATAGGGAGCTTACCTCTTAGCAGCTTCAAATGACTTTGCAAGCCGAATCTGGACTGTGGATGACTATCGATTACGGGTGAGACCCAGATAAGAAAACTGTGTGTGGTTGTCAAGGTGTAAAACATAGAAAAAAATAGCAGACAATAGGGGACTTGTGTGTATTTCCCTGAAAATCATTCTTCAGGCACCCTTTCCTTCTTGGGAATTAGATTAGTAGAATGACTTGAGCTTAATGTCACAGATTTTAGTACCACACGGGAATTGGGACTCTTACAGGCCCTAGCCTTAATATTAGACTGCTTTGACACCTGTGATATCTGCTCTTGACGCACAGGTTAGAGCTTAGCAGCAGCGTTGGCTGCCCTCGTGACTCGCTGTCCTCTCCAGCCAAAATGGTGTGTGTGGTACTCGCCACCTCCGCATCTGCTCCCCAGAGCCAGTTAATGACGAGAATGATGGTTGTATCACTTATGTTCTCATGGGAAAATCAAAACCTGTGGCTTAATCAGCAGAGATTTTTTTTTTTTTCCCATTTTTTGGGGGGGGTGGGGTGGACAAGTGTTGCTATGTAGCTCAGCCTGGCCTGGAACTGGAGAACATTCTGCCTCAACCTCCATGGTGATGGGATCACAGGCTGAGAGATGCTTTTTCTTCTTGAGTTTGAATGAATTCTTACGTAGCTTATTAAGTAACGTTGCTGAAATGTACAGCGTAGCGTGCCTTGAGCGTTGGCTGGCGTTTTACCAAAAGTGGAGGAGAGCCGGCTGGCACAGGCTGTTTTTGTGTCCAAAGCCAGCAAGATGAGCTTCTCAGGTCTGCAGGGAGGTTTGTGGCCGTCTCACTGGGTGGTGCAGGGACAAAGGTAGAAGACTTGGGAACAAGATTGCTTACCGCACAGGCTTTCCATTTCCCAGCCTCAGGCTGGTGGACGGTGACAGCAGGTGCGAACCAGTGCCTCGAGGGTGGCCGTCCTCCATTCTCAACTCAACAGAGATCCAGGTCTCCTGCAGAGCCTGAGCCCTGCAGATGACAAGGACAAGTGTTGTGAGCACGGACGGGCTGCCTTGTGTTCCTGCCTTGGGACGTGGACTGCTGGAGAACCTCCCAGGGTACAACTGGGACACATTTCCAGTTGTCACCCGCAGCACTGGTGCTGCACTGCAAATGGCCTAAAGGGAAAGGATTTCACTGAATGACTTCTGTGTGGGCCCAGTACTGAGCTATAGATGATAATGTGTTCCTGCTGTTGACCCTTGGTGAGATGAGGTGAGGTAGGCAGATGAGGAAACTTATGCTCAAGAAAGCCACCAGAAGGCAAGGCCTAAGGTCCCACGGCTAATAAATGATAATTTGAGCCAGAGGTGGTGGTTCACATCTGTGATCCCAGTACTTGGGAGGCTGAGGTGGGAGGATCACTGAGTTAGTTCAATGCTAATCTGGGCTACATAGTAAGTTCAAGGACAGCCTGAACTGCATGGTGAGATTTCCTAGACTGGAGGAGTCAGGTGATCACTTGCTGGAGAGGAAGCAGCTGAGTGTCCGCTACTGTTTTTTTCGTTGGTAGAAGAGTTGTTCTGTACAGGTGGGCATCAAGCTTTGGGGCTGAAGTGGCAAGGAGTTAGGGAGGCAGACCTGGAAGACAGGGCTGGAACCTTTGTCCTGGGAAGCTGGCTGGAGAGCTGCCCAGGCCTCTTGCAGAGGGCGCCTTCGCTGTGCTGGTGCCTGGGCCACAGGTGGATGCGTGGGGCTGCTGATCTTGCCAGGGCTGCGGCCTTCCGTGCTGGCCCGGCTTGCAGCTGCTTTTGCTGTCTGGTCCCCAGGTGAGTGTGTGAGGAGCTGGAGGTCTCCCTCAGTGGGATCTGCACACCCAGGATCTTAGGATGAAGAAGTAAGGGGCACTCCCTATCCAAGGAGGCTGCGGCTTCCACAGGACCCTAGGGACAGATGGCATTGGAGGACAGGAATGGACTGTCTGTCCTCACTAAACTTGTGGGCGTCATGCAAGGCCACATCAGTATCTCCTTAGCTTTTGTGATCAGGTGATGGTGTTGGGAGAGACCAAAATTTGAGAAGCAGCCGGTTGAGTTCTTGCTTTAAAGACCTTCTGGTAAACCATCCTGGAGACAGCCCAGCCTCAAACAGCCCTGCGTAGTGCCTCCCTTTAAGACCGGAGGGTGCTGCAAGGCTTCCTGGCTGCTCTGTTAAGATTTCCCTTGGGAGACCTACACCTGTGATCCCAGCACTGGGAGGCGGATAGCCATGAGTCGGAGACCAGCCTGAGCTATATAGTGAGACCCTGTCTCAAAAAAAGATTTTCCTGGGGCCGGGGATTTAGCTCAGTGGTTCCAGCGCCTGCCCTGCAAATACAAGGACCCAAGTTCGATCCCCAGTACCAAAAAAGAAAAAGATTTTCCTTGCGAGCTGGCTGTGCCTGCTCTCTTGTAGAGGCAGAAAGCAGAAGTGGAAAGCAGCATGGTAGGGGTTGGCTACTGGATAGATGGTGGCTTCTATTTCCAAAACCTCCCCTGTGAGTTCTGCATTCTTCTGGGTCTGGAGTCTTTAGTTGATGTTCGTCTAGTCGTGTGATGAAGGCATGCATCTGAATGGGCAGTTTTGTGTTTAGAAATTGTGATCTGGATATGGAACTTGCCTTGCGGCCCAGAGAAAGGTTGTACACAACCTAAAGAAAGTGTTCGAATTAAATATAAACTTCAAAACACCTCACAGATCATAGAATTTTAAATGTACCCAGGCCAGCTACAAGAAGGGCTCCTTAAATAGTGAAGGTGAGTGGGTGCTCATGTGCATGCAGCCCAGTGCACTGGGGGCGAGATGAGCCCAGGTGGGCGCCCACCAAAGGCAGAGGGCCGGGATGTCTCCTTTGAGTCCTTGGTCCAGCCGCTCTTCCGAGAACTACAGCAGAAGAAAGTGTTTGCTCACAGATGTTTGCTACCGAATCCTCCATGACAGTGACTTAGTCTGCCAGCAGAGGATGTTGTCGTTTAAATTGTGGTCCCATCACAAAGATACAGCTTGTGGGTAGTTAAGGAGACTTGAAGAAAGGGGATGCTGAGAGAGGAGGACAGCAGTGCCACTGGCCTTGTCAGGTTCTCACCGCACCAGCGCGGGAGAGCATGTGTGTGTGGTCTGCAGGGCCATGTTCACATGGCCCCCCATAAACGATGGCTTTTTCCTCCTGTGCTCGGGAAATCTGTCACCCTTAAGGCAGCGTGCACACAGCCCAGCTTTGGATGTTGATGAAATAGAATTTGAGGAGTAGCCTGCCCCCGTTTCCTGTCTGTCCCTAGGGTGTGCACAGGTTGGGTGATTTTCTCCCAGCTGGGTCTATTTGTGCCTCATATGTAACATGAACTTTGAGGATGAGCAGGAGGCTGGGCTGGAACTCTGAGCGAACCGCTGTCATAATATAGCAAGGTCTTTTGTTTTTATGTATTTTTCTGTTTCATTTTAGTCAGTCAGAGCAGGTGCCTCAGCTTTTCCAGAAGAGAAGCATCTGTTTCTAGCAAAGTAAGACTAAACAAAGCATGTGTCCTGGAACTGGGTCTGTATGATTAAATTTATTTTCTTAGACTCTTCCCCTAGGAGTAACAATTTATTCATCTAGTGTTTGCTAAATTCCTTCTATATTCCAGACCCTTTTCCAGAAACTGGGGTACAGAGTTTCTGTCCTTGTGAAACATAAGGAAACTATATCAAGGATTGATAGTTTGAAGAAAAATACAGTATGGTATAAAGAGTGAGGGCTGCTGGAGAGAGGTTAGGATGCACTAATACCTGTTTTTTGACATCCACTCTTCACACCCCTGTGTTAAAAACTGGAACCCTTGGGGGCCAGGGATTTGGCTCAGTGGTTTCGCCGCCTGCTGTGCAAGCGCGAAGACCTGAGTTCGATCCCCGGTACCAAAAAAAAAACAACAAAAAACTGGAACCCTTGCTGGGGATGGTGGTGCATGCCTATAATCCTCCTTAGGCAGGAAGATCGCCCTGAGTTCAAGGGCAGCCTGAGCACATAGTGAGGCCCTGTTTCAGAAAACCCAATAAAAGGAACCCTCAGCTTGGTGTGGCCTTGTGGTCCTGGTTGATAGCAAATATCAGTTCATTAATGATCTGGATGTGAGCTGGGGGGTGGGGGTGTTTTTGGTTTTTTTTGGTACTGGGAATCGAACTCAGGGCCTTGCACTTGCCAGGCAGGTGAGACACCACTGAGCTATGTCCCCAGCCCTCAAAGATCTTTTAAAGGCATTCTTTTTTAAATTAGACACCATCAGTGACTACCTTCTGAACCCCTGCCTTGAAAGTGTAAGGTCCTGAGTTAGATCTCCGGTACCAAAAGAAAAATGTTGAGCCAAATGTGGTGCACATCTTTCATCGTACTTAGGAGGCTGAGGCAGGAGGATCGTTGAGTTCGAGGCCAGCCTAGACTACAGAGCAAGACCCTGCCTCAAAAAAAAAAAAAAAAAAGCAATGATCCCTTACCCAGGTGTGGTGGTGCATGCCTATAATCCCAGCACACCGGGAAGCTGAGGCAGGAGGTTAGCAAGTTCAAGCCCAACCTGGACAGCTTATCAAGACCCTGTCTCTAGAAAGATAAATAGCAAGACAGGACAGATGAATTTGGGGTATAGCTTGGTGCAGCAGCCCTAGTTCAGTCCCCATTATTGCTCCCCACATTGCCCAATTGACCCGGCCCTGAAAAAAGGTCCATGATGCATGGTGAAAGGGCTGACTGCCCAGTCCCCTCCCGGCACCCCTACATTCCCAGCCATCTCTGTCTGACAGGCAGAGACGCCCCATTCTGTGTCTTGCTAGCTCAGAGGGCACCACAGTTGGCATCTGACAGCTTCATCACAAAGGGATGTGCGTGTCGGGAGTGCCCATCCGTACCGGTGGTGTGACCTGACCTTTGACGCTGAGACCTCACTGAAAAGCAGTCGTGTCCTGACGTTTCCCTCATAAATTAGGCCTTCAGTGGCACTGAAAACAACCTGGGGCTTTAAATGTTTCACAACTTTATATAAATGCAGCCCTTAAAAATGTGCACAGAACAGTCGCTGCAGGTGATTTCTGAGCATCTTCCCACGCCCGCCCTCTTCAGAGAGTTCCCATGGTTGCCTGGCCCCGTCACTTTGGGCCCGGGTACCCCAGAAGCAAAGAGTGGGGCAAGAAGGGGCCAGGTCCCCGCTCCCGCTCCAAGGGAACAGCTTCCAGGACCTGACTGCTTCCTGCTAACATCTCCGCCCCTTCTTATAGCCGGGACCAAGCCACACCTCGCCTCTGGGAAAACCCAAAGCCAGGCTTTCTGGAAGTTTCTCCGAGCTGCTGCACAGGCCAGTGTGGCTGCTGCCGAGCTGAAACTGTCTTGTGAAGCATGCAGCTCTTGGCTTAACCCTTTCCCTCTCCCCTTTCGTTGTCCTGGATCCTTGGCTGGATCCTGGGCTTTTCCAGACTGGCTGTGAGGATGGGGCTCACCAGAGGCTCACCATGCCGCCTTCTCTCTCCCAGCACACACTCACAGGCCACAGTGGGAAAGTGCTGTCTGCCAAGTTCCTGCTGGACAATGCACGGATCGTCTCGGGAAGTCATGACCGGACCCTCAAACTCTGGGACCTGCGCAGCAAAGTCTGTGAGGAAATACAGTCTCTCTGTGTGTGTTCACCTAGACCTCAGCAGTGGCGCTGCTTTCTGTTCGACGCTCAGAGGGACCCAAGCAGTGACACTTGTTCTTGTTTGAGGTTTCCTTTAAGGCGGGGGTTCCGACAGTTTGGTGGTTGAGGGTAGTAGTGGCCGGAGCCGTGAGTGGCCCCGCTTGATTACTGTTGATTTTCTTTCAGGCATAAAGACGGTGTTTGCAGGATCCAGTTGCAATGATATTGTCTGCACAGAGCAATGTGTGATGAGCGGGCATTTTGACAAGAAAATTCGTTTCTGGGACATCCGGTAAGGCACCCCAGAGCTTGGTGGGGAAGCAGATAAGAGTCTACGTAGCAGAGCCATCGTGATGTTGTGTACGTGGTGGAGATGTTGAAATCTCGCGAATGGTAGAAGGAAACCCAAGGATACCTATAGCTTAGCAGTGTGACTACCGAGTCCAGCAGTTGTTCTCTGCTCTCTGCGCTTGTGCTGCAGATCAGACCCTTTGCAAGCCCTCAGGCGACGGGAGGGTGCACGGGGCGGGCAGGCATCCCTCAGGAGATGGCTGCCCTAGGCCAAGGACGTCCCTGACTGTGGAGAAGTGAGTGCGCTTGGTGCTGCAGGAAAGCCAGATATTCCCACCGGAGCAGGGAGCAGGGTGTGGCTGACATGGGGCAGATGTGCCGAGTGGGCAGGAAGCGGGGCCGAGGCCAGCAAGACTGCTGGGGTGTGTTGGGCTCAGGTCAGTGGGCCTTATCAGCCATTTCCAGACGTCTTCGTCCTTGACATAGCTCAGCAGCACAGAGCCAGCCTAGCAAGCGTGAGGTCCTGAGTTTGATTCCCAGTACCCAAAAAGGGGGAAGAAGGCCTACTGGAGCCAGGCCTCATGTCACATGCCTGTGATTCCAGTGCTCCAGAGGCTGAGGTGGGAAGATTGCTTGAGTTCAAGGCCAGCCTGAACCACATAGCAAGACCCTGTTTCAAAACAAAGGCACACTGGGGTTTGGGGAAGTCAGCTGGTGAGGACTTGAATTCAGGCCGGTAGACAAGAGGATCTGGAGGTGCACTGTGAGGGAGGGGAGCGGTAAGGATGGCATTCAGGGAATGGAGGGGCTTCTGGAAATGGGCAGAAAGCTGGGAGAGTCCTGCTCCTGGGCCACGGCTGAAGGGTGGCGTGGCTGTGGGCAGAAGGCCAGCCCTGGGCCAGTTGGTCAGGAGGCAGACGTAGCTGCCTGGTGGCGTGGCAGTAGAGGGAGCGGGCCACAGCAGCTGGCTGCCCAGCAGGTGGGGCCGCGGGAGGCTTCGTGTCAGGGTGGTGCTTTGGGATGCAGTGTGGAGCCACAAAAGGCTGATGGGACACCCGTGGCTCCTAGACTCCACTTCAGGTGTGTGTTGAAACCTTTCTGTGGCTTTTTTAAACCTGAAGTTTGACCTCGAGTGGAGTTTTAGGGTTAAACTGAAGACAGGTCTCCCAGCCCCTCCTGTAATTTGACTAGTGAAGCCCCCCAAGCCCCAAGGAAGTGCACTTAGCATAACTCGGGCCATCTATTTATTTAGGGACAGTAGGATTAACTCCTGCTGAGTTAAGGTAGGAAAATAGTTTTCTTTGGCAGCTTCCCACAAAGTCACTGTGGAAGGGGGAGCCAATGCCTCCCTTGGCTGTGCCTGTCAGCAGCAGGGCCCTGCCACAGGGGCGGTCAGTGACCTGGGTGGGCTGGGGCACAGAAGGGAATCAGGCAGCAGCAGTGGGGTTGCACAGGGTTTCGGCCCTGCCCTGGACTTGTAGCAGGAGCAAAGCAGGAAGCCTGACTGGCCAGTGGCCCCAGGTAGCTCTTGCTAATCAGAAGTTCTGGCTGGCGGTCAGTGTTGTTCCCGGAGTGGGCAGAACACTCAGTGGATTCGGAGTTCATGCTCCAGCCTGCCTCTCTCAGATCAGTTGGCGGGAGGAAAAGCAGCCCTTTTGCTCTGCTTAGATCAGAGAGTGTGGTCCGGGAGATGGAGCTGCTGGGGAAGATCACCGCCCTGGACCTGAACCCGGAGCGGACTGAGCTGCTGAGCTGCTCCCGGGACGACCTGCTGAAAGTCATCGATCTTCGGACGAGCACCGTGAAGCAGACCTTCAGGTAGCTGAGGCGGCGGGAGGCTGGGGCGGGCCACCTGCCGCCTCTGGGGTCGCCCAGCTGAAGCTGCTGCTGTCTGTTTCAGTGCACCCGGCTTCAAGTGCGGCTCAGACTGGACCAGAGTGGTCTTCAGGTCCGTAGCAACGCCCCTGCCCCAGCACAGATGATGGGGTTACTGCGCAGGCGTCTCCAATGGGAATGCAGGGGCGCTCGTCCAGTGCCACTCAGAGACCCAGGGGTGGGCTTGAAGGTCAGACTAGAGGTCGCCATCCATATCTTGGCTCCTGGGCAGCCGCCAGAGTCTCTTTTGCCCACCAGGCTTTGGGAGAGCTGGCAGGAAAGGACAGGAAAGGTGGGGAGCCCTGGGCTGGGACTGACGGGCTCTTTGGGCACAGCCCATTCTCCTGAGTGTCCCCAGGCTTGGCCCTGTGCTAGGAGGAGCGGGTTGGACGCTCTCAAGAAGCAGCGGCTTCACTCCTCACAGAGAGGGCTGTGAGCAGGTGGAATCTCGAGGGGCGGGGAGTCGGTAGCTCTTGCTCCCTTGCTTTCTTCAGCCCTGACGGCAGTTACGTGGCAGCAGGCTCAGCCGAGGGTTCGCTGTATGTCTGGAGCGTGCTCACAGGGAAAGTGGAGAAGACACTGTCAAAGCAGCACAGGTGAGGCTGACACTCAGCAGGTGCACCCCCGTCCACTGTCCTGGCCAGGGCTGGGCCTCAGTGGGCCCAGTGGAGCAGTGCCGGGGAGCATGGCACGGTGGCGATGGGGGAAGGCTCAGTGCAGTGTACCTTCCCCTTTCCTCCGTGCCTCCCTCTCCCTCGGAGATCCCTGTCAGTAAATCCGCTTGCATTCATACTCTGCCTTCTGCCTGTCGGGCAGCCCCGCGCCCGTCTGCCAGTCACACGCCTGCTTCCTCCGGCTGTCTGTCCCTCTCTCGCTCACTCAGCACTGCTCCCGGAGTGAGCTGGCCAAGGCTCGCAGCTCTCTTGGGCGTCCTCCTTCCCTTAAGGAGCCCTTGCTATGGGTGGGCACAGCCAGACCCTCGGGTACATAGGTCTAGTGTGTGGCGGGCCGAGATCTCAGCCCTGCTCCTGGAAACCTGATGCTCTTCCACTCTCTCCTTGAAGCTCCTCCATCAACGCGGTGGCGTGGGCCCCCTCCGGCCTGCACGTCGTCAGCGTGGACAAAGGCAGCAAAGCTGTGCTGTGGGCACAGCCATGACTTTGGAGAGCCACGGGGACTGCCACACTCCTGTCCTTGTGTGGGGGGCATTCGGCCTTCCTCCGGCGCTGACGGTTGGCCTGGGAGAGTCCACACTGAGCCCACCTGGCCCTGTGGGCCCTGTCTGGGCGGGAAACACTACTAGCTCTGGCCTTCCATACCTCACTGGGGAGCACGGGGCCTCCTTGGACGGCAGTGCCAAGCATACTCGTGCACAGCTGGGTGTCAGTCCTCAGAGTTCCCCATCTTCCCAGAGTCACTGTGGCCCGATGTGCACCCCCTGCCTTGGGGCACTGGCTGGGTGGTGGGAACGCTTGGGCCACAGGCCTCTTGTGATCATGTCTTGTTACTGCTGAAACATCCTTAGGTCTCTCCGACTGGTCTTCGGAGCCTCTGGCTCCCTTCCCCACCGCTTCTGCATGTCCATATCTTGGTCAGGAAGTAAATCTCAATTTGGCTTAAGAAGTTTTGAGACAGAGAGGACATGGCCAGTCTTTTCCAGTGAAGTGTGTTCCTGTGTCACTGCAGATGCCCGGCACGTGGGTGCACACCACCTTCATGCTGGTGACAAGGGATCAGGCCAGAGTGTACCATCCCGGGGCTGGCAGCGGTGACCTAGCCACACTCTGCCAGGCTGCCGGTCACCTCCTCCGTGTGTGCTGTGGGAAGCCCTGTCCAGGGCCGGGGTGGTGCCCTTCCCCGTCCAGAGGCTGTGACGAAGGCTGGGAAACAGTTATCTTCACCATGTACCTGTGTATAAAGTTTCGGTTCTGTGTCTGAAACGCCATGTTTTATCACATCATGATTTGCACTTTATTTTTTCTCACACGCTCACTCTGGACAGTTGGGGATGTGAGTGCTGGAACGGGAAGGGGAGCGAGGTGCCCTTCCTCCTCTTCAGGCCTTCATTTCTCCTCCACTGCCATCCAGAGACCTCATGTTGGGAGGAGCTGAGGTTCACAGGCCAGGGCACATCTTTTATTTATTTAATTATGTCGCCAAACAGAACTTGATTGTAAATAAAAATACTCTGTTATACTTTTCAAATTCTTTGCATCTTGGTGGCTATTTCATTCTTTATTCTTAAGAAAGAAGGGAAAAGGAAATCTGATCAGTTTCTCTGCCAAAATGGTTAATATTTTCCTAGGGTTTTTCCTGATAGTCACGTCAACCATCTCAGAGCTCATCGCCTCCTGTAAACATCAGCACCCCATTTCATGTCCTGTGGGGATCCTAACACAGGACGGAAACATCGGGAATCTATCTCCGGAACTCGGCCTGCTGTATGTGAGAGCCCAGCACCGTGGCAGCCTGCAGACTCCTTGGTCACAGGGCTTGTGTGAACTGCTATCTCCTTTGGCCCCGAGCTGCCTCTGCTCAGAGGCCTGAGTCACCTCGCTGGCTGAGATACCAGCAGGCAGCTTGAGCTGCAGCCTGATGTCCCCCCCTCACAGGGGACTCAGCCAGACATCGGCTTGGCCCAGCGCCACAGTCAGAGTTCCCATGCCTGAGTCTGAGGCAGCTGGCCTGGCTAAGAAGTTGACTGAGCTGCTGTAGACCTGCTTGATCCAGACGTGAGCGTATCTCAAGCTTTAAGGATGGAAAGATAGCAAGACCTTTATATTCCCAGGGCTGGGGATTTAGCTCAGTGGCGCCATGCCTGCCTCAAGCATAAGGTCCTGAGTTTGATCCCTGGTACTAGGAGATCCAAACTGTATTCCCTAGGCCATTTCCCAATATGGTACAATAACCTGAGTTCAAGGACTTGTCCTGAAAGTGTCCACTGCCCTTCATCACGTGTCATAAAGCTCTTGCATCATCCACAGCAGGCAGTAGGGGATTTTGTGTGGGCCCTGGGGTGACAAGACAGAGGCCTCCCTGGTCCCCCAGAGAAGATTGGCTGGGAAACGCCCGAGTGACTTCACAGCTATGAGCACAACTTCCTGTGATGGGACATCCGGAAGTGGTCTGGGGGCACCAGGAGAAGAGCAGCGTGGTGTGCCAGCCCTGCTGCGAACACCTGCTTTGACACAGACCGCAGACATCTGTGTTGAGGGGCCTTGCACAGTAATGAACTGAGCTGTAGCTCAAGTCTAACGATTGGAATTACATCCCAGTTCGTAAAAGGGGAAAGCCTCACAGTGGGGCAGGAGGGCCTCATTGGGTCCTGCCTGAGCCGCCGGTGGGCACCATCCTGCTCTGCAAGTCCTCAGCTCCGCCTGCCACCGCAGGCCCAGCTGGGCCCCTGACTCGATGCCCTACGCTGCCTTCTGTGTCCCACAGGGATAAGGCCATGCTTGATAGAAATCACGAATTGTCACTCAGTAAACTGAATTTTGGGTAAAGTGGAATATACTGCAACTGTGAAGGTTAAATGGAAGGGCCCAGGTGCGGGGGTTACATGCTACCCCCATGACACTGCTCCACAGAACGACTCTTAGCTGCCTCACTTGAGCCAAATTCGATTCTCCAGCGTGGGAGCCCTGGCTCTCACTGCAGATCTCTGCTGCTTTCCCTCTTTGCCTCTGACCCTTCCTGGTCTGTTTGTTCCAGAAGTTTCTCCCATACTCTGCTTGTTTTGACAGTTCCTGCCCCTCAGACCTGTCCAAGGGCCACGCTGACCTTGTAATCCACGGTTGACTGGAAGGCACAGTGAGAACCTCCAGGTGAGGACAGATAAACAGTTCCGCAGCAACTCCCATGTACCCGCCCCTGTGTGCCCCCAGAGTATTTTAAAGCCACTAAGCCTCTTACTGAACATCCCCGCCTGCACTGCCAACTGCCACCCTGCAGCCACAGCTGAGTTGAGGGGTCAGAGATGAGAAACGGACCTCATCTTGCTGCAGGCAATTCCAGAGGTCGCCATGGCCATGAGCCTGGCCACGGCCAGTGCTTTTCAGACTTTGTAGAGCAGTAAACTTCATAAAGAAACGGAACCGAGTATGGTGGCACAAGCCTGTGATCCCAGCACTTAGGAGGCTAAGGCGGGAGGATCAACATGAGTTCGAAGTCAGCCTGGGCTACATAGTGAGTTTGAGGCCAGCCTGAACTACACAGCGAGATTCTGTCTCAAAAAAAAAAAAAAAATCTAGGGGAAAGTTGCTAACTTTTTTGTTCTTAGGAGCTGCACTGTGACATATTTATGGGTAAAATATGATGTCTATATTTACTTGCAAATGGATAAAAAGGAAAAAGCAGAGTTGGACACAGACAGTAGAATGTTACTGTGGAACCTTGGGATTGATCGAGTGGGTGTTGATTGTATTTTCTTCTTCCAACTTTTCCCTGTGTTCTAAAATTTCATAATCTAGAATGCAGAACTAATGAGGGGCCAGAGACTTAGCTCAGTGGCACTGTGTGTGCCTGGCAAGCACAAGGTCCTGAGTTCAATTCCTAGTACTGGGGGAAAAAACCCATAATGACAAGGCAGATCTGTGTTTGCCAGGAGTGGAGGGTCAGTGGGGAGGTTGGCAGACACGGTGCTGGGAGCCTTTGAGGGTAAAGAGCTGTTGAGTCTGGACCATAGTGGGCAGCGTGGCTGGGTACCACCGCCAGGCTTGTTAGGCTGTACACTGAGAGTGGGAAGCTGTGTGGGGTCTACAGTCTGTCTCAGTAAAGATGGGGGAAGACCATCTTAATGCCAGAAAAACTGAGAACCTCATAGTCTTAGAACAAGGCCCAATCCTTCATTTTGATACATTTGATTTTTAGAAAAAAACTCATGAGTGTCCTTATTTTTTTCATTAAAATGCATGGTGTCCACACAGCAGCAGCCAGGGAGGAGGGACCGGGTTCCAGGAGCACCGTTGGCGGCAGACAGGGCCCAGCCCGCAGCCGGGGGTCTGCAGCCTCTCTGATAGGGAGATTAAAGAAGAGCCCTAGTCATTTCTCTTCCTCTTACCTTTGTACTCCCACAGGAGAAATTAGATTTCAAACTTCTATTTTTAGGTTTCTGTTACAGGAGCAGTAATGATCATTGGAGAAAATGTGAAAATTACAAACAAGAAAAAAAATATTTACACATTTACAATCTAACGCCTCCACCACAGATTACACCATGCTCAGTTAGGCATGTAAGCACACGTGTACTTGTGCATGTGTGCATGTGCACGTGTGTATACATACACCCATAGTCTGTGTGTTTGTCACGTGTCACACTACACACACCATCAAACAACCTTCTGTGTTCAGGCATAACATCTACCTTTCTATTCCAGTAATTTTCATCTTACCATATTCAGATTTCCCCAGTATCCTAGATGCCTTTTGCCCCACTGAGTGTCCAGCCTGAGACTGCATGCTACATCTGAACCTTGAGTCCCTTGAGTGTCTTAATCTAGCACATCCCCTTTGAGGGCAATGACTTACGCAAGACACCAGCGACTTTCTGGATTGGCCTGGCAGGTCCCGTGTAGTGTTATTTGCCTTGTTGCTCTATTCTCGAGAAGTGATATCTAAAGGCTCCAAGGGGGCACATCACACATGTGGGGTGGCAAGTGCTCTGCCACCGAGCTACGTCCTCAGCCTGACACCTCCCAGGTGGCCAACACCAGTGCCGGGGATTTAGCTCAGTGTTTCTGCTGCCTGCCTCGCAAGCACAAGGTCCTGAGTTCAATCCCCAGTACCAAAAAAAAAAAGAACACCAGATGGCCAACATATTGATGTTGCTGAGGTTGACCATTGGATCTGCAGTGTGCCTCATGCTGAGCCTGTGATCCGTATGCTTCACTCTGGTGCTACTGGGACAGCCATTCCCCAATCATCTCCTCACCTCGCTGTCTAACAGTTTTAACACCAGAGAATAATCCTGTGTTGTAAAATGTCCCATTATTCAGGTATGGTAAGGCCAACCGATCAAGAGATAATTGCCATTGTAAAGACAGTTTGTCACAGTTCCTTAGAGGAGGGACATGAGAGCCACACACAGCCACACCGGAAGCACCAGGGGTGGTGAGGAGGTGAGAGAGAAACATGGCAAGAGTATTCTGGGGCTTTTATGGGAAGGAACAGGCGAGGCAGGGTAAGCTGTCTCAGGGTCGGCCAGGTGGGATGGTTCCGTGGCTCTAGAGTGTGGGAGGTCTTGATGCCTGGCCCTGCTGAGGTCAGGTCGGGACAATAGTGGCCTGGAACATGACAGCCTGATGAAGTGGATTGGGGCCATACTGCAAAGACCAGCTCTTTTCTAGGAGTTGGCTAGCCCTAGGAGGGGAGGTCTCTCCAGTCCTACAGAGCCCCAATTGTCAACGCATCAAAAATATAGAAACTTCTGGCCACAGCGGTGCACACCTGTAATCGCAGGTTTGTGGGAGGCTGAGGCAGGAGAAGCACTTGGCCGAAATAGCAAGACCTTGTCTCAGGGCCAGGGATGTAGCTCAGTGGCGCTGTGCCTGCCTGCCAAGTGCAAGGTCCTGTGATTCCAGGTACCAAAAAAATAATATTAATTTTTTTTAAAAAGGCCTGCATCAGAAAAATGGAAGGGTAGGGCAGGAATACAAAGGGCCTAGAGGGGTATGAAGTAGAGAGGGGAGAGAGACTGAAGAAGGGAGCAAAAGGGAGTACAGCCAATGAGCTGGCAATGCTCCAAGAAGTCTGCCTAAACCTGACAGTGGTGGGACTTCCCACTCGAGGGTGACAGGTGGTGGCCATGGAGGTCGCTCTGCTGTGCATAGAGAAGGACCTGGAAGGCAGGATGGATGTCATGAGATGGGGAGAGCCCTGAGGGTCCAGAGAAGCCCGGGTGTCGGTGTGGACTCAGGAGGTGTCCCTGGGGCTGGGAAGACATAGGCAGAGACGTCCCGGGGGAACAACAGAGGATCCCAGCGTAACCAGCGGCGTTGGGTAGAAGAGAGGGATGGCCCAGCTTGGCTTGTGCAACGCTGGGTGCACCCGAGGTTGCCATTTCTCCTTGACCTTTTTGTTTACATAATGCTTGCTGAATTTAATCAAGTTTGTCGTTGCACTTGAAAAATCCCATCTTGATGATGCTGAGGAGCAAAGGGATAAGCAGTCTATTTCCAGAACCCAAAGAGGCTTAGGATAAAAGTAGC